TTTCTCGACCCGCTCTTTCATTTGAGCCCAAAAAAACATTCATATCTTGTCTGACATCTTTGCTACAAACTCGGGTCCTCAACTCTGGTTTTCAGTTGAAATTGGAATTGTTAGTTTACACTATAATAGGATTGCATTGACGATTTTTTCTTAACTCGCAAAAATCTTCAAACAATTTGCTATCGATTGGTGATAAAATTTTTTGTAAATAATAAAATAGGGGGGATAACGCCTTTTTTTCAGGGGTGATTTTTCAAAAATTTATTTTTTTTAAAGTACTAACTAGCAAATGTTTTTTATTAGCTCGCAATTTTCTTCAAAACTACTTCAATGAGGAAAAAAATAAAAATTTTGAATATCTATAAATGAGGGGCTAATTGGTCGGATCTGAATTTTCGTATTTTGGTACTTACGTTACTCTGCTATAAAGCTAACGATATATCCGTATGAGTAGACAATTAGACCGAGAGAATGACTTGCTTAACTGAGAAGAGGAAGTGTAAGCAATGGAAAATTTTTGTGACTAGTTCTCTTCTGTCCGCCCATACGTCTCAATTAGTCGTCTGCGTGTTTACGACGTAAGCAAAACGTTTCAGTATCAAGGACTTCATAACAGGACGATAAAAGTGTGTACAGCCTTTACCCATGTTTTTTAATTATTCATGATATGAATGTTGCCGATTACCTATCTCTCGTCTGACAGGTCAACGATAAATTTGAAAGAGGAAGCCATCTGATGATCTAGTAGGGGAGTGGACACTATTCAGTATAATCGAGTGAACATTCGCAAGAAACCTGGTCGCAAAATTTTGAAATACGCTTTGTATTTCGGTTTTCAGTGATGTGTAAATACTTCATTATTTTACTGCATGTAATCAGTAGTTTTACGAGTGGAGAAAGAGGCGATATTATACTTGATATCGATCGCGGACTGTGGCTGAATGACAGAGACTTTGAAATGATGATCAAGTATTCCTATCACTTTTCTACATGTTGCAATATATTCGTCAATGGTAAATTGAAGGCGAAAATACCACGCACGAAAAACTTACATTGAAACACCTAGCGAAATCGATATAAAATTCTATAGAACTTCTATTGAAAATCCTATTAATTTTTGACCGATTTAATTAAAGAATTCGCGCGGCTTTTCATAGAGAATTTTCAATGCAAACTATTTTATAGAAAAAATTTGCAGAATTCTATGCAACTTTTTCCATTGAAAAATCGACATGCGTTTTTTATTGCAAAAAAATCAAATAAAGGAGCTGAGAAAATTAGAGCCGAAAAATTCCTATAGAAAAATCGCGTTCTAATGATTTTTTCTATAGAATATTTTCCACTGAATGCTTCTATTGAAGTGAAAAACGCGAATAAAATGCGGAATGTTTTAATAGAATTATACACAAACTATTAGAAAGTTTAATAGAAATCAAGTAGAATTTTTTTGCAAATTCTCTTGACTTTTCTATGATTTTTTCCCCAAGTGCCTGCGCCGGGAGAACTTCTTCAAAAATTTCTAGTGTCGAGTAAAATTTCTAATTATTCCTGGGAAAATTTCATATAAATAAATACAGGAAAATGAACGTGCTACATAATAAAATGTCCAGTGGCAGCTCTGGAGTTTTTCTGAAAAAGTTATTTTCGTGTGTACAAAAACGTGTGTGTTAAATAGTATTATTGTATTTTAAGTTATTTATAATTGATTTCAACCAATTGCTAACAGGAACAACAAGAGATATAGGAACTTTGTTCAATCTATTCATAAAAATCTATCAGTATGAGTACACGACTGGAAGCATTGAATACGGATGCCGCGGGTTCTTTCTGTTGGGTTCAACTGGAGAAACCCTTGCTCTAGCTGTGGGCAGGTAAATACACCGATAAAAAAGATGAAAAAATTTAGTTACTGTTGATAAGGCTTCTTAATTATTAATGCCATTCGTTAACTATTAACGAGTCTTAACTCAATCGTTCTATCAGTGTATGACTATCGGACTTGAATAATTTCTTCTACGAAAATAGTTCAACATAAGTTTTTTCGTTTTTCCTCTGCCATTTTGAAATGAGAAAACAAAAAAACAACAAAAAAATTTGGATCATTTATACTCAAGATTTTTTTACGAAAAACGCAATCTATAAACTTTTTTCCATAGAATATCTCTTCCAAAATCACATGACAAAGTTGCATAGTTTTCAACAGAATTTCTTGAAGAAAGTGTTAGACTTTTATATAGATTTTTTTTACCCATGCGAACCATAATATCATTTCCAATTATTCAGAGTTCCCACCGCTGTCTCCACCACCGAAATTCTCATAGTCGTTGATGCTGACTTACGAGATGATTCACCTCTACTCAATGTCAGTCTTTTTCAACACTCAAATGTCAATATAATTGCACGTTCTGGCAACTGGACGTTATCCGAAAATTTCCTGCAACCCCGGATGTTCAAGAAAGTTCACAGGTGCCCAAAAATACTTCGTAGAAAATTGCAGGCGGCTGTATCTTTGATACAGCTGTAATTGTACGTGGATAGGTCCATGGTCTTCCTTCTTCGTCCATGCTTTTCCTTCTTTCTCGAATTTCCTAGAAACTCCTTGCAGTCCCTCGAATTTTCTGGAAACTCCTTGAATTTTCTTGAATTTTCTACAAACTCTCTGAATTTCCTCAAAATTTCTAGAATTCCGATAGATGGCGCTGCACATAAGGACCGTTTCCCAAAATGACCCCCCAATATTGAAGCCATAGACGTATCCACGTGAAAAATATTGAACGTTGTATTCATGCACTTGTTCGCTTGACAGATCCTCCCAGATGCGTCACAAGACCGGCATCGTTGACCTTGAGGGCCGGCGATTGCAAGTAACAACATCCAACATAGCGCCGTTCTCATATCTATCGACAACTGTCAACAGGACTGTTAATGGAATTCAGGGCCAGTTCTTTGTGGCAAATGATGGTAGACTTCATGGCTTCGTTGCACATTCTGTTTGCAGATGGATATCGTTAATCAATATTGTTATTTTTTTAAAGAACGCGAGTTGGACGGAGTCGAAGTGAAATTATTCCTGATAATGGCTGAGAAACTGAACTTCACGTGGATGATGAGGAAACCCAATGGTCCCTACAGGTTTAAAACTCTTGGAAAGATGGCAATTTCGAAGGCCCTTTTGTTCTTCAATTTCTATCAACCGTTTTAATTTATTACTAATTGATTATTCGGTCATAATCCTTTGTTCTTCAATTCAATTATGCAATTTTTAGAACTGTTGACGATCTTTGCGCCCAACGAACTGCCGTTTTGAGTTAAAGAAAAAGTGTTGATGAGCCGTGAAATGATCCATTCAAAGAGTTCATTCGTTTCAGACATGGGAGGCCAAACGGCACCTCTTGGAACGGCGGAATGATAGGTCAATTATACAGAAAAGAAGTTGATCTTGCATTCGGAGAGGTCTGGCTAGAGTACGAAAAATCTCAGTACGTGAACCTATCCGTGCCGTGGTACGAGGTGTGGATAAACTTTCTGGTACCACGGCCGAAACCAACTGAGAATGTTTGGGCCCTTGCGAAACCGTTTCGATTGAATGTTTGGGTTGCAGTCATTGCAATTGTCATTCTTGAGAGCATCGCCGTCTGGGGAAAGGCGAGGATTAATTCTAAATTACCTCCAAGTAATTATTAGATTATTCACATTGAACTATAGGTGTGCTTATGTAATAAATGTGGTGCACGTTTTTGTTCGCCATTCACGTCGGAGGACAAAAGGGACTTTAACGGGAATTTCTCTGTTAATCGGTTTAAGGTCCCCGTTCTAATAAGGGCTATACTATATTGCGCTGGATATTTTAGTATATAAAATAGAAACTTCTGGGAAATCACGCACGAAAAAATTTACCAGAAAAACCTAGCAAATTTAGAATTTTATAGAAAAGTTTTTCTCTGAGAGATTTTGAGAAAATTCTATAGAATTTTTGTTCCTGAAAAATTTGCGAAAAACTTTGCATTTTTTGAAATAATATTTCAAAAATTCTACAAAAGTTATAACTTTTTGACAAAATTGAAATTAATAGAAATATTCCATCAGACTGAACGAAGAAAAGATGGAAATTTTTAAATTTCTACAAATTACTTTGAAAATTCATAGGTTTCCTAAAATAATTTGAAAAAAAAACAGATTTTAATGTTTCTGGATTCTCTCCGAGCACCGCCAAACCGCACAGCTAGTAATAGTTCATAACTATACACTCACATTATAGTTGAGTGATTTTTTATAAGATTTCCGCCTTAAAGATGAAAAGAAAACTGTAAACGTCATGTTCAAGGGTTTAGAAGCTATGTGAATACACTCATAGAAGTAATAGGCCGCCTAGTGGGGACTTGGGCGCCTAGAAAAACTCAGGGAATTCGCATTCAACTCCAATTTTGGCATTTTGCTGGACTTCTTGTGGTTACGGCTTACTCCAGTAGCTTAGCTGCAAGATTAACTACTCCAGACTATGAACCAAGGTAATTTAGGGTAATGGCGGACGAAATAGGCATTCTTACCTTTTTAAAAAAAATTCTCACAATTATTCAGAAATGGATATTTGCCTGTATCACACACTGTAATTCTCTTAACCCTTCAATTTTCCCACATTGTAATACAATTTGATTCGGACAATGAGGATATCTCACACAAACAACAGGGCATTGATATGGTGAGAGTTAACATGAGTGATTCAATGATAATAATAATAATCTGGCACATTTCGAGTGGTTTTGATTCGTTCATGCTTGCTGAACATGTTAATCGACTGAAAATAGTTGTACAAGAATACCGAGTAGTGTAACGACAAAATGGAAATGAGGTAACAAAACTCGGAAACAGAAAGTAAATTACGTTTTGTCATTCTGCTGAATTCTGACGTAAAATTGAAGGTTTTTTTGTTCAAAATACCAGGAAAGAGGGTACACGGAGAGCAATATTCAATAAAAATTACGTATTTTTTCCCTAATTCCGGAGCGAAATGTAGTTGTAGGAAATTTTATGGAACTGTCGCGGAATTTTTCCAGATCGTTCCGTAATTTTTATCTGAATCTCCTGTGAAAAATTACGGTACCGTCTCTTAAATTTTCTGAGTCGATTCCGTAATCGGTGAGCGAATTGTGAGTTCCGTCATTTTTACTGGACATTCCTCTCCGTGTAAATCAAATGTGTCCAGTCAGACATATTATCCACTCTCAAACGAAATGCGATGAATAATTTTTTTAAGTCAAGTATTTCTATTTTGCTCTAATTTCCTTTACAGACAACCCGCTTTTGAATATTATTCAGTAGCCAAAGGGTAAAACGATTTACGTCGACTTAGCTATCAGCTGAGTTTTCGAGCAATATCTCCGAATCTAAGGCAGATAGCAAAGTTTTCATTAGACACTTTTTTGTAGCTCTCAATTCGCGTTACAAAAAAGTTTAAGATACAAATTTTGCTATCTGCCCTAGATTTCGAGATATTTATTGAAAACTAACCAACAGTCAACATCGAGACAAACCGTTTTACCGATTTGCTCATTTATTTTTTAATTGTGATTTTTCCAGAATCGATACAATAGCACAATTTGTCAAAGCTAATCTAACGTGGGGTAGAGAGAGGACACCGCCGAACTACAGACACTACTTCGACTTGAACGTAAACTAAAACATAAAATTTTTGTTACTGAATAAAACGATAAAATATGGAAATTAGAGGAAAATTATTGGATGTGGGTTTTTCTATTAGTAAAAATGATGCACAATCGTATTGACTGCCTGATTTGCCTAATATTTTTGTTTCAATTTTCATATCTCACGACGAAAAATGTTCATATGTAGGATCTCAATTGAACTGCTATTTGCGAATATTTTTTTACAATTGAATAAGCTATTTGCGAATATTTTTATTCAGGATCCATATGCCAAACAACTGTCTAACGGATTTCTCATTGAGACCAGCCAAGAGGACAGACAGTCAAAGATTCTGGAAGGCAATTACGCTATCATTGGTAAAATCAGCCATTCCATCTTCTTCCCAGAGGTCAACGTTTGCAATAGCGATCTTGCTGTAAATAACTCATCAACACTACAATATCGTACGCGAAGAAAAAAATTCCTGAAAAACTACCATGGAAATTACGTTCACGGAGAGAAATAGTTTGTGGTTTCTAGTACCACGGTACTGAAATCCAAGCATGGCACTGGATAATAAAAAAAACCGTTGGGTACTGAAATCAAGAACTCTGGGTTATTAAAATAAACAATTCAGGGTTCTTAAAATAAGAACCGTTGGGGGCACTCAAATATTGCGTCAGGTGACGAATCATGACGGAATAGGGAGGGAGTTGCCGAAGCCATGAAGTCACACCATAATTAATTAAGATAATTTGAGGAGACTAGGATATCAATTTAACAACTTGAGGGTTTTAATTTTGAGAACCAAAGGGTTTCTAATTTCAATACCCAACGGTTCTTATTTTAAGAACCCAAAGTGCTGGATTCCAGAATCAGTGTCTTGATTGAACTATCATGGGCACTGGATTTCAGTCAAAACTCAAAAATTCCCGGAACAGCATTTCGCCTCACTTCCAGGTTTTTTCACGTAATTTTTTCTTCATGTACGTAATCAAAACCTAATGATGAACATATTTCTTCTCAGAATTACAGGGTGATGCGAGAATCAACAGCTAAATTCTTTATTTCTTTCGGCGCCCAATCGTGGCTTGTGCCCTCAATTGACACCGTAATTATATTCTGTTTAAATTCTACAACTGCACATTATACAGTGTGAATAATCCACAATTAGGACTGCAGCATTTTAAATAACAATAAAAAAAACTGCACATTATTTATTAATTCTATCTAAAGATTGAAAAGACGTACATGAAATGAAACAAAAATGAACCGCTCGGGATTTGTCTCCAGTGGGTGGTTAAATCCCGAGCACTTCAATTTTTTTCTTTCTTTCTTTTATTTGATTTATATATTTAGATATATTTTCTTCATTTATTTTCTTTACAAAAATATAAAGAAAAATTTCTTTCTTTCTTTTTTTTCTTTTTTTTTTCTTTACATTCTTTATAAGAATATAAAGAAAAAAGAAAGAATTCAATTACCCTCTGCAGAACAGAACACTATAACTATTAATACTCTTCACGAGGGAGGAGGGTGAAATTTAGCTGCGCATTGCAGTCGTTCGTCCCCTCGTCTCCTCAACTTAAGAATGTATTAGTAATGATCATAAAATCTAATTTGATTATTTATTAATAAACGACGAATTTCCCGAAACCTGCAGATGATGCGGCGCTTAACAGAAACTGGTTTAGTTGAATATCATCTACGAGACGTCATCCGTCGCAGGGTCAACGGCAGTCTTCGCGATGTTTTCATCGAGCACGATGGTGAAAACACCAACGGCCCCAGAGCTTTGAAATTAAAACCTCTCGGGGCAGCATTCATAATACTTCTCGCTGGCTATGTAGTAGCTACCATTATTCTCTACTTTGAACTGAAGAACAAAAACAAGATCGATCACTGAATTGCAGTTGAATCAGCGAAAAGAATGTCTGTCCGACAATCGGATGGTGCTACAGAATTGAGTTGATTTTGACTGTTGGCCAGTTTTCAATAAATATATTGGAATCTTAGGGGGATGGTAAAATTTTTGTCAAGACCTTGTTTGAAATGTATATATCTATCAGTCAAACGGTCGGTCCTATCGACAACCTTCGAGCATCATCGGGGAGCTTCGGTTCAACGGTCAGACGATCGCGAAAACGCCGGAAACCAATAGAATCAGCACTAGTAGAATCAAAGTTTCGCAGCGATATATTATTTGATTAAAATTATTTGATTGAGATACGCGGTAGTGTATCGGCCAAGTCGCGCCTCATAACCTCACAAACAACAAAACGACAATTCCACTACCCTCAACTAATTTAATTTTGATGTCAACTTTTTGGGCCATCGTTGAAAAAACGATTTTTGAAAAAATATCAGTTTTTTCGAATTTCTATAAAAATTTGAATTTTAATTGGTGTCAAAAATATATTTATAAATATATTCATGAAAAAATTCATGAAATTCAATTGATCCCTTATAAGAAAATTTTGAAAAAAATCCCATTGTAAAAAGAACATACGTTTAAAGTTGATAACTATCGATATCTCGCAAGTCTGTCACGCTTATTCCTCATTGGTTCCAGTCGTCAGAAGAGGCAAATTTAATTCATGATTAATTTAATGTTGAGATTTTCAATTATGATTGTTCCAATTACAGCGCGCTGTAGCGCGCGTTCGTTCACGAGAAGAAAAGAGAGCACATACATACATGCAGAAAGACACAATCTAAAATCGCATATTCGGACTTTTTAGACCCTATTTAGTGACCCTAACACAAAAAATTGAAAACTTAAACTTGAACGATTACAACGCCTCCACTCGAAAGCAAAAACACAAGAATTCAACTCGGAAATTCAACCATTCAAGCCGTAAACTTCAGTGAAACAATTTTGCCGACCTGAAATGAATGCCCCAGCCTCCTCCCCCCACAACTTACGGAGTATTTATACTATATTGCTACATCTCACTCTTGTCAGCTTCTCCGCACAGTGCGATCAGTCTACCTGCAGAAGGAAGACCGGTTGGGTCGTTCCCTCCTCTACAGAACCTACTGACACTCGTCCGAATTCCACAAAAACCGCGCAAACCCAAAAAAAGTTGCTACTAATTTCCGTCATTCACACTCTGTAACTCCCTCAAATTCATTATCAGAAATACTAAAAAGGCGTTTGAGAGTGGGTGATCATGAAGTGACCTTGAATGAGCGCGCGAGTCATTACCTACTCCCATTGTTCCAATCTTCCCTCCCGGACATCGGCAATATACCGTAATTGAGGCATTCATTTCCTTCAAAATGACGCGAAGGGAGCATATAAACGAAGGTATGTTTATTCAAAGTTCTAATGAACGATTCTGGAGTGAAAATAGCACGTACGGCAAGTTTAATAGAAAAACCTAGCGAATTCAGTTGACAATTCTATTTTATTTCTATGTTGTGGAGGAGTTTCCGACCGAATTCACAGCAAAAACGACCAAAAACATTTTTCAAACACCAAAAAACGTCTGACTAAAATGAAAATGTAGACACATTCAAATTCAGATGAACATGTGACCAAACAAAAAGCATTCATTTCATTCATCTTAAACATTTTAATTTATGTTTGAACTTCAGATAAATTTCCATTTTATTTAGACGTTTTTTAGTGTCTGAAAAATGTCTACAAAAGATGTGTGAAATTCAGACATTCGTTTTTACTGTGTTTTCAAATTGTTTCGTAGTTATTGGCCTCTGCGGTCATTTGCTGATTCGAGACGTTTCCTTTTAGGTAATTTGGTTTGCGATTCTTGCAATTCTGTGTATAATAAGTTTTTTATACTTTTATTATTTAGTCTGATTTGGTTTGTTTGTCAAAATAAATAAATATACCGCTGCAAAGGGGGGCTAATGAAAGAAAATTCATCCAATCATTTGGACATTATAAATTTCATCACCTGGAATCAGCAAATGACCGCAGAGGCCAATAGCTAGGAAACAATTAAATTTTTCTTGAACCGTCCATTAGTTGTTGGTTGCTTCTGTTGAAATGTTCAATAGAAAATATTGAAAAAGTCAATAAAATTAGATTTTTCTATACAACTTATTCTGTTTTTGTTTGATGTTCTTGGTGAAAAGAAGAGAAAAATAGAATGAACAAAACTTGGAAAATTTGAGTCGAAGAAATTCTGTAGAAAATATCTCAATAGAATAAGATGTATAGAAAAATCGAATTGTATTGACTTTTTCTATTAAACATTTCAATAGAATCGACCAAAAACTAAGAGAAGGTTCAATAGAAATCCAACAGAATTTTCTAACGAATTCGCTAAATTTTTCTATTAAACTCATTTCGCGCGTAAGTAGACCCCAACTCATCACCTTATTATACACGTCACTATTGCAGCCCAACCAGCCACAATTGACCAGCACTTTTCAGATCTAATAAATGACACAAGTGTCATTGATGAAACACCTAGGGAACTTAAAAAAGATGACTTACCGGACTGGTATGATGAGAAATTATTCAAAGCGTAAGTTTCCATTCCGTTGATGTCGAAAGCCCGAACTATTCTGAAACAATTAACACGGGATTAACGTATTCCAGTGGACAGAATTACGTTTGCAAAAATTTAATGGCGATTAGTTTAGGCGCCATGAGTGGACTCCTCGCTGTACTAGTTATTCCGTCGATCTTGAAAGTGAGGACAAATGAATAATTTTTTATTGCTAAGGATCCTCGTGGATTGTTGATTGATATTTTCCATGATCTGTGAATTTGTTCTGTTAGATACTAGTGTGGACAAAAAAGAGCGGCAGCGCTTGCACGGCCTTCACTAGGTATCTGCAGACTCAACTACATGTGCATCATCTTTATGTGTCTGATATCAACGATCCGAACTCTAGGTAAATATTGAATAATTGAAGAGTCTTGTTGTTGTGTGGAGAGTGTACACTGTTAACTCAATATCCCAAAAATGAGATTAAGTAGGAATAATCAAAGTCAAGCGATTTGTCTTCACAGCAAAGTCAGCTCAACTTTGTAAAGTCCTGTATTTTTGGAAATATTCAATTTTGAAAAGAGATATATCTTCACTGGTGGGTCCATATATGGTAGGGACGCCAGGCTTGAGCGGTTAAAAACATATATTTTCTCACGGAGAAAAAACTCAGAGAAAAATTACCGAATATGTCAAGTCATTGGGGAACGAACTCGATTTTCAGTGAAAAAAGCTTGAAATTTTTAACAATGATAAAATTCCAGGAAATGTCTGTATTTTTTTGCATTGACAAATCAGTTAATTTCTTGAATATTCAAGGAATTCTCGATTTCCAGATCCCTGCGGTACTGGAAAATATTCAAAATTCAATTGTATTTAATGTTTAATTTTCACAGTGAGTTGGGAAATTCACGCTTTCATTGAAATATGAATGATCGCTTGATATGGTAAACCAAATTTTCTTGAATTTTCAAGGTGGATGAGAAATTTTATGAGCGCTGTCATTTGAAATTGAATTCAAACTCACAACGAGAATTCGGACGACGCTGTGACTGAAATTTCAAGAAATTTCAAGTAAAAAATCTTGAAATTTTTAACAATCACTCATTCACACGAAATTTTCATGTATTTTGTTATTGAAAACTCAGTTGAATTCTGGAGTATTCAATCAAATTGCAATTTCCAAGTTCACAAATTCACACAACAATTTGCCTGAATTTTCAATCCACGGAAAATTCAGTTGAATGTGATGTTCAATTTCCGCAATGAATTTGAAAATTCTATATATCATTGATATATCAGTGATCATCTAACATGGAAAACCCAATTATCCTGAATTTCCAACCTGAATGAGAGATTCCGTGAACGATTTGATCTTAAATTGAATTCAAATTCACATAATTGAGAAATTAAGTGCAACTATTGCTTAATTTTCAAAAAATTTCTAACAATTTACTGAAAATGTCAGTCAAAATTTTTTAGCGTTGTATTTCTCTCATTAAACTATTTCTTCATCGCGTAATTTTTTTCAAGATTCTGGAAATCGATAAATGTGATAAGACACGTTCACTCGACGAGCAGCCGGAGATCCAGAAATGCTGGAATGGGTGGCATTACGCACCGTGATATGGCGCTAACACAGTTCGGTTTCATGGGGTACGCACTCATTGCCCCCGAAAAATTGGGTCTGACGAATGAGAAAGAAGGGAGAGAGGGGTTCACTCACTTGTGGCGGGTCGTCGGACATTCTCTTGGGATATCTGACCAGTGAGAACACTAAATAATTTCTGAATTTTCACACACTTCATGAAATATTGCTGACTGCAAGCCAGTTAATCCCACCTCGTCATAAATATTGTTCTTCAAACAGCGCAGAATTATGTTCCTTATTTGAGAATTCAAAACCATTGATTATGTCATTGAATAAATGAGGAAATTTCACCTACAGACGGAGACAATTTACCCTGACTCAACAGTTTTCGAGATACAAATGCAAAACTTTTAAATTGTTGCAATTGACGTTTAAATTATTTGGAAAATTACCGATGCAAATATTTCATCATTTCTGAAATTTACAGTTGAATTTACAATTTCGGTTTCCAATTTTAGAGATTCATCTTGTCTGCGTTGATGTTTCAATGAAAATATTTTCCTCATAAATCATTACAGTCTCAATATTTGTCGAAAGAACGAGGCAGAAACCACTAAACTCTGCAGAAAACTGATTAACGAAGTATTCGGGCCCAAAATAAAAAATTACCCGGAGAAATTTCCGGAAATGGCAGATGCACTGATAGATGGATTGTGGTGTGCCAATCCCGCCCTTAATTACGATTCAATGATGAATTTTTGGTACGACCTGAGTGGATTAAGATGTGAGTATCTCCAGCATCAATAATGACACCCGTGAATGAATTTATCAGAAAGCTAGCGCTTTCATCAATAAATGTTATTGGAATTTCATTAGAATTCTTTACACTAATTTCAATTGAAAATTGAATTAGTGCAATTCCATTCGATTTTTAATGGATATTTTGCAGAAGAAAGTGAATAGATTTGGATTTCGCAGTGAATTACACGCAAAGAAATTCACAAAAATTCTATTACTGATATTCGAATAATTAGAATCTCCGGTTATAAAAAATTATAGTGCTGTTGAAGTCAAATTTCTGGCTGTTCTGGTGTAATTTATGGAGATTTCGGGTTAAATTTTCGAGGATTTGTGTGACAATTTCGTAACAATATGAGAAAAATTCTTGTGCTACAAAATAAAATTTGCAGTGCTAACACTCGAATTTTTCTAAAGAATTTCTCTCCCTGCTGTATTTTTTTGTTTCTCATAACAAAATGCAAAAATTAAAACTTGGAAAAACAAGACTAAGAATTTTTACAGGGAAAGTTCCAATAGAATAAGTTCACGCACGAAAAAATTTAATGGAAAAACCGGGCGAATTCGCTAGACAATTCTATTGGATTTCTATTAGTTTTTAGCGAATTCTATTTAAATGTTATAGAGCCGCCTCCTTATAGAATTTCTATAAAATGTCTATAGGATTTCCTCGGCTCAAATTTTCCAAGTTTTTTTCATTCTATTTTTCTTCTCTTTTCATCAACAAAATCAAACAAAAAACTTGGAAAACTTGAACCGAAGAAATTCTATAGAAAATGTCTCAACAGAATAAGTTGTATAGAAAAATCGGATTCTATTGACTTTAGATTTGTCTAGCGCAATCGCTAGGTTTTTCTATTAATTTTTTTCATACGTATTATGAAATACTTATGCAGGTTGCAATGAAAATTCGCAAGAATTTCTTTTCAATTTCCTGATGGATGTGAATCCTCAGTAAACAATTTTTTCGCTACAAACATGAAATATTGCAGATGACAAACCACTGGGCTTCGCCAGCAAATTAAACTACGCATACAGATCATGCATCATCTACCTCATAGGTGAATATACCATGAAATCCTAATGAAAAATTATCAATGATCATTTGTTCACGTTGTAAAAGTCGCCTATTTATCCCAGGAACTCCCTACATTGGATTTTTCGTGAGAAACGGATTCAATTACTACCTAAGTTTCACCTACTGGCTCCTGGAACGTTGGCGAGTCCTCGCGTGGATTCGTTTCGGCAAGGAGCAGTCGAAGATCCAATTATTCCCGAAAGAAGCAATTATAGATTAACTCACTATTAGGGAATGTTTGTAAGTTCTGTATCGTCTGAACGATTTCTTCCCCACTACGGGTGTTATTCATCACATTCTCAGCGATTTTCATTGTTTTCCACACTTTATTATAAATCAATTATTTTGAAATACAACAAATGAATCGACTAATTTTAAATATAGAGTTTTACTTTATTCATATGCATCGTTTTCCTCAGAGTACCGACGATACCCATAATTTCCCCATAATTAATCTATCAATAAACAAAAAATCGTCCCAAACCGGGAAATAAATACCCTAGCGAAGAAACTGACCCTAAAAATCTCAAAATTGCACAAAAAATTCAGTTTAGATCACAAACAAAAAAACAAACACAAACTAAATAAGATAATCAGGAGCATTCACCGATTGTCAACAAACAATAATTGTCAATGTAGCCGACCCGTCTCAAGGACCAAAGTGTATTTATCTAATATCACTCTCCCCTCAAACTTTTCACCCTAGACTTTCACGACATGTATATATGTAATAATAAATATCTTAGTATTCCGAATAAAAACCAGTTTAAAAAAAACAACCACTCACCCCACTCAATCCGACCCCCAACTGTGTCCCCAAAACTCGCTGAAGGTCCTCAAAACTCCGAAGTTCCCATTCCCAATCAAAAAGGAGGCTCCCCCACAGTCGCCCTCTGCCAAGTGCCTCTGAAAAATTACGCTCACTTCACACAGGCACCACCAACATAACTGAACATAACCCTCGCCCACACGAACACACTAGCCCCGAGGCCATACTGCTCTATCAATGACAAGCCCGTCGTACGCACACCTCCAGTGCCGCGTTAACCGTCATTAAAAAACGTCACCGTCATTTTCGCCCGAAAAACCCGTGGAATGAGGCCCATGACTCCACAGTGGCCAGTGTCAAGTGCACATTAACCTAACTCTCGTGCATCGAACCCCAAAAACCGTCTGCAACCGTGCGACCGCGATCGCCCATTAATTGCCAATTGCGTTAATCAAAAGCCCCGACCCCCCTGCCCCACCGATTAAATGTCACTGGACAAAAACAAATCCTGAGTGAGTGTGACTTCCCTACGATGTCAATGAATCAGCGGTCCTCCCTCCAGAATTAATCACCCAGTGTCGAAAGCCCCCCGAAAGTGCGATAAACCCCCCTGGTGATGCAAGATGTACAGTTTCGAGGGTGATTATCGTCGCAGGCCCCAGCAGAACTTGGCTGGTGCCAGTCGTCGTGACGAGAAGGCTGCGCTCCTCCAGCATGCCCAACTGGAGCGAAACAAGCGCGAGCAGCAGCGCAAACGTCAGAACGCAGCGCTGAAGATTCACGCTCAAACCCGGAGCTACTTGATCCGTCAGTCAGTAAAACGAAACTGCAGAATCGAGTTCGACAGAGCAAGATCCCAGGTCCAAGGTAGACTCCAAACAACGGAGCTGATTCCCTACATAAGAACGCTCCTATTTTTCTACGACGCAAAGATCGACTACGAGCGACTGATCTGGCTGCTGGAGCACATTCTCTCTAACAAGGACGACATCCTGAACAGCTACAGCAACACCGACTGGCTGTGGCGCCTGCGATGGATCCTCAAGCTGTGTCTGCAGTTCATCCTCGAGATAACCAGCATAAACCGACAGATCTCGACAGCCCTGCCCCTGCGAGTCCTCGAGAGCTTCATCACGAGTGAAAAAATTCAATACCAGAAAGACTCGAACGAGAACTACAGGAATCACCTTCGAGACATCCTGAAATACCTAGTCCAGAGCTCGTACTTCTCGAACATAAAGAAACTCCTCGAGGACAACATTCCTCCCCTCGACGAGTCGACGTCAATTCCCCCCACCCCGAGGATAAAATGCTACTTCGACTTGATAAAGCAGCCCCTGGTGCTGTCCACCGACACAAAGTACGACAACGACTTCGCAATGATAGTGATCAAAGAGTTTGTGAATACAATTCTTCTTCCGAGGATGTCAGACCCAGTGAGATTATTCCTGATCCCAGCACTGTCAGAGCTGTCGAGTTTTCCCTATGCCGAGTTGATATGCTGTATCAACAGACTGGAGATTGTTCCAACGAGAAGTCTTCTGTACGCTGTGCTCTCCCTGGAGCCCAGGAGTTTCAATCCCTCGTCATCGGACACTGTTCTAGTGAACTACGTGCAGGTGCTGGCCTCGCTGACATCGACGACCCTGGGCCCGCTGCCCTCGGAGTCCCCAGCCAACGACAATATGGTAGACGACAACGACGACATGAGCATCTCAGACACAGACACTGTCACGGTGGACCAGAGCCAAGTGGAGATAATGCTGCAGTGCATTAAGATGCTGAACGAGGACGACAGGGTCAGCAGGATCCTGGCGTCCCTGGACAAGAGCGAGGAGCCCGCTGTCCTCCAGTCCCTCTGCCAACTCTGCCACAACCTCCTGAGGACTGATAAGCTGGCCTCCCACAAGTACAAGCTCCTGTACATGCTGGCATTCAAGCCAGAATTCGTGAGGAGACTGTGGACAGCCCTGATAACGACCAAACAGACCTCGATATTCGGTGGAGGATCGACACCACTGGTGCAGATAATGTCCAGGGGGATAGCCCCCACCGCTGAGGACTCGAAGAACATAGCCTCGTTGATAGCTGTCTTTTGCTCGCTGTTTAGCCTGCTGATAGCCACTCTACACGACTCGGAGTTCTTCACCGAGTCGAAGGAGAATTCAATGGAGGAGGAGGAGCCTGACAACGAGAGGACAGCGATGCCGTTCACCACTGGGGAGCTGGTCCCACTGTCTGATTATCTGAAGGGGGTCTGCCTGGGCCTGGTGGAGCTGGCTTTTCCTGATTGTCGACCCACTGTCAGGGACGACTACAAGAGGGCTGTCCTGGGCCCCTCGACGAAGGCCATTCAGGAGAAGCAGGACACCCAGATGTGGGTCCACCTGTTCAAGGCGACCTCTGGACTCCTCAGGCAACTCCACACGAGAGATCTCAGGAGGCAGTTCTGCCCCGATGGCCACTGGATCACCTCCAACATTCCCATTCCCCTGGACAAACCCCAGGACATCACCTGGAGGAGGAGAACTAATCGCACGACTTACTCACCGTTTCAGGGGCTCAGGAGTCTCTCGCAGGATCAGGAGGAGAGCGAGCATGGCCCTCCTCTGTCCACCAAGGAGATCAGGATGCTGACACTCCTCAGGGAGGTGCCATTCATCGTACCTTTCAACGATCGAGTGATGGTTCTGCAGTCGTTGATCTACAGGGACAAGATGGAGCATCAGGGGGAGCTCACGCACTTCATGCAGGGCCCCTCCATTCAGATATCAGTGAGGAGGAATTATCTGTATGAGGATGCTCTTGATAAATTGTCGCCTGAGAATGAACCCGAGCTGAGGCTCAAGATGAGGGTCCAGCTGGTCAATTCTGCTGGGGTCGAGGAGGCTGGCGTCGACGGTGGGGGACTCTTCAGGGAGTTTCTCTCTGAACTGTTGAAGACCAGCTTTGATCCCAACAGGGGCTTCTTCAGGCTCACCAAGGATAACATGTTGTATCCTAATCCAACGGTTCATCTGCTTGTTGACGATTTTCCAAAGCACTATTACTTCATTGGGAGAATGATGGGGAAGGCCATTTATGAGAATCTTCTGGTGGAGCTGCCTTTCGCTGAGTTCTTCCTCTCGAAGATTGTGGGGAGACAGTCGGATGTGGATGTGCATCATCTGGCGTCATTGGATCCCGTCATGTACAGGAATCTTCTGTATTTGAAGAGCTACAAGGGGGATGTCTCTGATCTGGGCCTCGACTTCACGGTTCTCTCTGATGAACTGGGGGAGAGGAGGATCGATGAACTCAAGCCCAAGGGCTCGCAGATACCCGTGACCAATGATAACAGGATTGAGTACATCCATCTGATGGCGGATTATAAACTTAATAAGGAGATCAGGCCTCAGTGTTATGCCTTCAAGCAGGGAATCGCTAATGTCATTCCGTTGGAGTGGCTGCAGATGTTCAATAATAAGGAGATGCAGGTGCTCATCTCTGGGGCGCAGATACCTGTGGATGTCGATGACTTGAAGATGCATACTAATTATACCGGGGGGTATGCTCCGGATCATCCTACTATTGGGGCGTTCTGGAGGGTCGTCGAGGGGTTCACTAATAAGCAGAAGGGACAGCTGCTCAAGTTTGTTACTAGCTGCAGCAGACCTCCTCTTCTTGGGTTCAAGGTAATCAGGGCTGGGGAGAGGGTTATTAATTATCGCGGATATTATTCATCTTGGGAATATTCTTTTTCATAATTTTTTTAAATTCGAATTTAATTGGAATTGGAATTCAATTCAATAGAAGTTATGTAACATTATATTGAATTGAATTCAATGGGATTTGAATTGATTTCAGTAGCATTTCTTTGAGAAATTCTATTGAATTTCCTTTGGAACTTTAGGAAAATCGTCTTCGAGTTCTATTAGGATTATTTTTTAAAAATCTATTTGTTTTTTGTGGTAATTGTTTAAAGATATTTGATGGAATAGTGACAATAGATTTGCATTTTTCGTAACTAAATTCAAGATGAAAAACTTGGAAAATTCATGCCCAGGAATTATTACAGGAAAAATGACAAGAGAATAAGTTACGCAGAAAAATTCGAGAGGAGCCTTCGATTTTCAAGACAATTTTTCGACTTTGAAATAATTCTCAATAGTTTTTTTTTAATTCAAGGAAATCCTCATTTTAATTTAAGAAAAATTCTCATTATTTCTCCAAAAAAATTCTAGAAAGTTCTCAGTTATTCTGGAAAATTCCTGGACATTTTTAGATTTGTGAATCCTGGACTTTTTTAAAACATCTGGAAATATTAATAAATTTCCTTTAAAAATTTAAAGTTTTAAAAATAAGTTTTTAGAACTGCTGATCGAAATTCAATGTAATTTTTCTCATAGAAAATAACCACAATAGAGAGAAAAGAAAGTTAAATTGGATAATTGAAGATTTGTAGAATAATATTCCTCCAGTAATTTTCATTTTCATCAATGCCGAAGTACTAAAAGAATGTCGAATCATTTGACAAAACGAAATAATACGCAAAATTTTGATGCCATTTCAATTGAGGATTCTATTATGACATGAAAAAATAGAAGAAGAGAATAGTGAAATAAGAATTTAAAAAAGACAACAATTAAAAAAAATGCAATTATCATCTTGTTTTTTTATTTTATTTTATATCGTACATCCACTAAAACTTATCATATCATTCTCACTCATCACCTGCCTATGAATGCACTTATCCAGTACTTATCTTTAATTTTTACTGGAAATGTTGATATTAATGAATTCTCTGTGTCAGGAACTCGATCCACCCTTCTGCATACAACACGCCGGCACAATCGATCGTCTACCAACATCCAGTACCTGTATGAATCTTCTAAAACTGCCAGAGTTTCCAGATGAATCAACACTACGTGAGAAACTGCTCTACGCCATTCAAGCTGGCGCTGGATTTGAGCTTAGCTAATTGGGCCCATCGAACAAAAACACAATGTGTGTTAATTTGTCTTCTTCATCTGCTGTTAATCAGCTGTCGTTGTTCTGACAGTTAATCATTCAAGACTGTGCCATTAAAATATCTACAATTCTCGGGGATTTTGTGGAGATGATTATTGAATATTGAAATGCGACGATTATTTAACGTGGGTTTACGTATTTGATGGGGATATGTTTGATTTATCATGGACAAGTTGGTTCCTCATGATTTGGTAGTAGATATTTCTAGGTAATTGTAAATTATGTATATCAAGTTGTGCGTTTATTTTCCAGCGGTGGTACATCGACTTATTACTGAAGTTAATTTAACGAGTATTTATAGGAAACGATCATGTGAAACATAGAAATGTGTATAGAATCATTGGGGGAGGATTTTTTGTGCTGCACTGTGTGGGGTATATGTGAAATCAAGTAATTCTTCTACGGTGTCATAGTGAAATAAATGTCAAATGTTGATGTAATTGTTAGCCCGGTCTCAGGGGACTGGCTATTTTGTTTTTTCTTTCTTCAATTACAAAACCTTGTGATATATGGATATATTATTATATAAACATATTTTTCGTCTTGATGAATCTTTCTTATTATTGTATATGTGAAATTTGCAACATTAAAATGTAATCGGGGCCACGGTGAAACGGTATATGTGGGTTTTTTCTGATGAGTCCTTGGAAACCTCATTATTAAAAATTCTAGGTTTTTTATTCTACGTCCATTTCTGGAGATACTTCATGAGAAAAAATTCATAGATGTTGATGTTTGTTTGGAGCTTACTTGATTGGGATTTTTTCTGTGGAAAGTTTTGGACATGAATTTTTAAAGTTTTTTTCTTGGATTCTGTAATGAGAGAGAGAGAAGATAGACCTGAAAATCGTGTAGAAAAACGCGTGAATAACAATCAAAATTTATTGACTTTTTTTCTGTGAAATATCTGTTTCAAAAATTGCAGATTTTTTTGGAGAATTTCAAGACAATTCAAATATGACTTGAATCAAATTCTTGAACACGAATTTTCCAAAAAAAAATTTTCTAGCATTTTGTAATGAAAAACAAAAAAATACAGCGAAAAAAGTTGCAGAATGACTGATGAATAAGAATTCGAATTTATTGAAGTTCTTTCCGAAATATCTATTTTAAAAAATTGCAAGACAAAATTGCAGATTTTTTTAGAGAATTTCAAAACAATTCTAATAAGACTTGTATCAAATCCTTGAGCATGAATTTCCCCTTTTTTTTCATTTTGGAATGAAAAACAAAAAATGCAGTGAAAACTCTTGCAGAAAAACTCATAAATAAAAATAAAAATTTATCAACAATTTTTCTATGAAATATTTATTAAAAAATCACAGGAAATTGCAGAATTTCCAGGATAATTTCAATAGAATTCAGCAACAAAATTACCAAAAGCTCTATAAAAAATCAAAAATGTATTGCATCACATCACAATACCATTTCTATTCCTTTTCTCAGAACCCCAAAAATTATTCAAAACCCGTGCCATTCTCGGCATAAGCACCTTGCCGCCCGTTGAAAACTCAGTCCTAACACTCACAAAAAAGTAAACGTCGATTTTGCGCGAAACAATGAGCCAGTGACTCCTATTAACGGTTTTCCCGCGCGTCCCGTGCCACTTATCCCTGTAATGCGTTCTTCCTCCGTTTTCTTGAATAATTTTAAAGCATTAAATTGCTTTAAATAGTATTTATTCGCGATACGACACCCAAGTGCGCAGTTATACGTCGTAGAGTGGAAGGTCGCTTGGCGTACGTTCCATTGACCTGTCGCGTAGGTTATAAACAGTCAACAAACACATCCCTCGGTTTTCGTGCAAAAAAGTTGAAAGAAAACGTTCACATATGATTGTTCGGGGATAAACATTCGTTTGACTCGACTCAGATGATGACAACACCAACGAGGGACTTTTTACATCGACGTCGGAGGTCACTCAGACAAGCGCTCGCTGTGATACCAGATATAACGAGTCTCAGTGTGTCACCAGGTAATAAAAATTGCAATGTTTCGATTCCCTACAAATGCTCAATTTTTTCGAATGCCTAATTTTAATAGAAAATTATGCCGAATGTTGTGGAACGCGGACACAATTTCTAGAGAATTTCTGCATGTGTTTGGGGGTTTGTATTCACAATTATGACAACAATTCCACAAGGATTTCCTCCAAAAAATCATCATTTTGGCTTATTATTGAGGCAAATTCATGTACAGAACGCTATCCTGATCTATCGAGTAGTTTTTGAGATACAATTAGTTTGGACTAATTGCTCCAATACAATTTTTGTCTCAATATCTCGAGACTTATGTACCTTACGAACAATTCAGGAGTTATCGTCTTGTTTTTTTTTATTCTAAAATTGCCGTTATGTTCAATTTGTTGAAAACTATTTAGTCAAATATATTTCTTTCTTTTATTATTTATTTAACCACACTCCAGTCTTCATGAATCAAATGAATAGAAATCATGAGTGTGATGTATGCTCTAAAAGAAGATCCGATTTTTATTTGATTAAATTTTTGAAGAACAATTGTCTGCTTTTGTGAGACGCAGCAGTTGCTCCAGACAACTGCCCTTATTCGCTTTTTTCTGCTCCAAAATACTCTTGTTGATATCAATCCGGTAAAAATCCAGATTTAATGCAATTAGATGTTCAGGGGTTTGTATTCACAATTATGACAGCAATTCCATAAGGATTTCCTCCAAAAAATCATCATTTTGGCTTATTATTGAGGCAAATTCATGTACAGAACGCTATCCTGATCTATCGAGTAGTTTTTGAGATACAATTAGTTTGGACTAATTGCTCCAATACAATTTTTGTCTCAATATCTCGAGACTTATGTACCTTACGAACAATTCAGGAGTTATCGTCTTGTTTTTTTTTATTCTAAAACTGCTGTTATGTTCAATTTGTTGAAAACTATTTAGTCAAATATATTTCTTCCTTTTATTATTTATTTAACCACACTCCAGTCTTCATGAATCAAATGAATAGAAATCATGAGTGTGATGTATGCTCTAAAAGAAGATCCGATTTTTATTTGATTAAATTTTTGAAGAACAATTGTCTGCTTTTGTGAGACGCAGCAGTTGCTCCAGACAACTGCCCTTATTCGCTTTTTTCTGCTCCAAAATACTCTTGTTGATATCAATCCGGTAAAAATCCAGATTTAATGCAATTAGATGTTCAGGGGTTTGTATTCACAATTATGACAGCAATTCCATAAGGATTTCCTCCAAAAAATCATCATTTTGGCTTATTATTGAGGCAAATTCATGTACAGAACGCTATCCTGATCTATCGAGTAGTTTTTGAGATACAATTAGTTTGGACTAATTGCTCCAAAATAATTTTTGTCTCAATATCTCGAGACTTATGTACCTTACGAACAATTCAGGAGTTATCGTCTTGTTTTTTTTTATTCTAAAACTGCTGTTATGTTCAATTTGTTGAAAACTATTTAGTCAAATATATTTCTTCCTTTTATTATTTATTTAACCACACTCCAGTCTTCATGAATCAAATGAATAGAAATCATGAGTGTGATGTATGCTCTAAAAGAAGATCCGATTTTTATTTGATTAAATTTTTGAAGAACAATTGTCTGCTTTTGTGAGACGCAGCAGTTGCTCCAGACAACTGCCCTTATTCGCTTTTTTCTGCTCCAAAATACTCTTGTTGATATCAATCCGGTAAAAATCCAGATTTAATGCAACTAGATGTTCAGGGGTTTGTATTCACAATTATGACAGCAATTCCATAAGGATTTCCTCCAAAAAATCATCATTTTGGCTTATTATTGAGGCAAATTCATGTACAGAACGCTATCCTGATCTATCGCGTAGTTTTTGAGATATAATTAGTTTGGACTAATTGCTCCAAAATAATTTTTGTCCTAATATCTCGAGACTTATGTATCTTACGAACAATTCAGGAGTCATCGTCTTGTTTTTTTTTATTCTAAAACTGCTGTTATGTTCAATTTGTTGAAAACTATTTAGTCAAATATATTTCTTTCTTTTATTATTTATTTAACCACACTCCAGTCTTCATGAATCAAATGAATAGAAATCATGAGTGTGATGTATGCTCTAAAAGAAGATCCGATTTTTATTTGATTAAATTTTTGAAGAACAATTGTCTGCTTTTGTGAGACGCAGCAGTTGCTCCAGACAACTGCCCTTATTCGCTTTTTTCTGCTCCAAAATACTCTTGTTGATATCAATCCGGTAAAAATTCAAATTTAATGCAACTAGATCAACTAGTCTAGAGATATTGACCCATAAAATTGTCCAACGAAGAAAGATGAATGAAAAATGTAAAAACAATGCGAAGTGATGCCTAAATAATTCTCATATAAAATGAACAATGCGAGTTTTTCGCTTTGCTCAAAAATACTCTTTTTGCCATCAATCCGGTAAAAATAACACACCCGGATGAACTAATCCAGATATCTCTCTATATTTAAAAAATCCAGAAAGACTCCTGGCGATAGAAACTTAAGACCAAAAATTAACATTTGGGATTCATATGGGGCTCTCAAGCCGTTGACTGAATCCTTTTTCAGAGGGCGGGCTGCAAAGCCCCCTAGTTGACTCATAAAATTGCCCTAAATTGAAAAATAAACGAAAGATATAGAAAAATACGAAAAAATTGAAATGTGAAATCATGAATGAATGATTCTCATGTAAAATGAACGAAAAGAATCCCCAGAAAAATTTTTCAATCGCCAATTCTAGATCATTCACACCCATAAATTATCATTCCCCTCTTCCCCAGGTTCTCCCCTCCCAACCGACGTCAACACGATCAACAACAGATACAGCAGAGACTCATGGAGCCCAGCGCCAAGTCCCGACGAGTTGGTGATCCAAAAGCGTGGACGCAGGAGCAAAAGCATCGTCTGGTCTCCAGAAGCCGACGCAAAGCGAGATAGTCTCTTGAGTCTATCCCTTCGAGATCGAACCCCTGTCAAGAGTCCCACGAAGGCGTCATCGCACCTGAAGAGCACGCCGAGGAAACGACTTCTACTCGACGACAATGACGACATGACCCCGGACAAATCCAAGGTCGAGAGAGATGGTCAGAGGCAATTCACTGGGAGTCTGATGAATGGATTGAGGGGACTCAGCAATGAACAGCTGGTCAAAGTCATCATGGATCTGGTGTCTATGCAGGAGGATGGAGCACTGTCCCTCAATGATAAACTGAGGGACATTGTCATCAACAGAATCCCTGTGGCTGATGTCCAGCCGTTGAGGGAGAGGTTGAGCGCTCTCAGGCAGAATGTCTCGGCGAGCTTAATGTCCTTTGAGAGGATGGACGAGTTCTCTTATAACCGAGCTTTCATTCATCTTGAAACGTTTCAGGTAATTGTTTTTGCGGCGGTATGGGGGAAACAAAGGCTTGATATTTTATTCTGAATGAATAATTAGAGAATTCAATTGGAGAAATCAATTATTAATTATTTTTGTTCATCATGTCATTATAGTCGGTAGAATAAAATCAAATTAAAGGCATATTTTGTTTCCTCTTGACTATTAATTTTTGACGTGAAGATTCTTGAGGCTGAAACGAAAATTCAGCTAGAAAGGAGTTAAAATATATTTTGTTTTTAACAAATTCCAAATTCCAGATTAATAGTTTTTGTGATGAAAAATAATCTTGCCAATGAATTAGTATTTTCTGATAAAAGAATAATCTTAAAAATGTGATAGAAACAAAACGTTTCGTTAAAGATACAGACAAAATATTCAAGTGAATAAAAATCAAAGTCTCAAGTTTCTTAATTAATGAGACGTTGCTTCACATTAGACATTATAATTTAAAAAGTTTTTGGGTGAACATTGACGAAGATTTCAATTACTTTTTATATTTAAAAAATAACGACTAATTTTGGATATGTAATTTTTTCTCTTTCGTTCAGAAAACATTGATGGAACAAGGAAGCAAATTAATTGACTCCCAACACTGGACCGCAGCGATGCAGTACGTACTCCTGGCGTGGCCCATTACAAAAGACTTGCCCGAGTGTCCACTCCCCGACAACACAACCCAGAAGTGTTTTCAGAGTTTAACACAAATCTGCAAAGTTGCCCTGATGAACGGGAATTTTGTCAATTCGACATTGCAAATGTTTGCTGATAGAATGGAGACAATGATCCACGACTGCGACGAGATGAGGATCTGTCACCAAATGGCCAAGGAGATGATGAGACCCTAGTTTAATTACACCAACGTATTTAATTTCCATTTATTTCTATTTTTTTAATTGTAATCGACTCAGTGCCTTAAATAATCGATTTTGTAAGGACAAGATAAACTGTGCAGTTACCATAGTTCCAATGATTCCATACATTTTTGCCTATGATTTCTTTACACTAGATTCACATACCAAAAGTAATGAAATAGATGACATTATTTGATTCCTTCAGATCCGTATTTAATTCTCCTTTGTTTTGTTTAGATTAGTTGATCATTATTTTGATAACTTCCTTGAGTATTATGTAATCATCATATTTTTTGAAATTAATAAATTTTTACCTGGGTACAGGAATTTTGTAGAAATAATTGTGTCTTTATTGCTAGTTTGATGAGTCATGAATGGGTAAATTGCAGTTGAAGTTGAATATTCAAGAGGAAGAGAACAAAAACGAGATACGAACCATTTTTGCTTGCCATTGTAATATTAATCCCGCATTCCAACGTATGAATTTACGTTCGATTTTTAAAATAGAATTGTTTTTGAAAAATTAAATTCCATCTTGCTCCATCTTGCTGCCTAGTAGGTTTTACTAATTTGGAGAAGTGTGTTTATGTCATAGAGGTATCTAAGCGAAATTTTTTGTCGAGTACTGGATTATTCGAAGATCAAACGAACTTTCGTTGTGATATAAAATAAGGAACCAAATTTAATTGATGACCGAATAATTGCTCCACAAATATGTTGCAATGCTGCCTAAAACCACTGCAATGTAGATTATAAGCAAGTCATTCCGGCATTACACTCCTGTTTTAATTCTTCATCTTGAATTATCGTCTTGCATGATATTTTTCAATTATCGCAAATGAAGATAGAATGAGGAAGATTGGACACGTTTTCTTTTTACCTCGAAACATAAAGAATTCAAAACGAGTTATGGACAATTAATCCTTCTCATTATTTTTCAAATTGTGATATACAATAAAGAACCAAATTCACTTGACCGAATAATTGCTCCACAAATATGTTGCAATGCTGCCTAAAACCACTGCAATGTAGATTATAAGCAAGTCATTCCGGCATTACACTCCTGTTTTAATTCTTCATCTTGAATTATCGTCTTGCATGATATTTTTCAATTATCGCAAATGAAGATAGAATGAGGAAGATTGGACACGTCTTCTTTTTACCTCGAAACATAAAGAATTCAATGATAAAGAATTATGAGCAATTAATCCTTCTCATCATTTTTCAAAACAAAAAACCGTATACATGATTTTTAAAAAATCATTCGAAATGTTTAAGGCGTACTCACATGCTCAACTTGTCATGCGCGTCGCGCCTTCGTGACTCGTGGCACGTTCAGTTTTGACAGTATCACTTCAGTCGAGTTCGGTTGAGTTCAGTCCAGTTCAGTCCTCCCTCTAACAGCCCAACCTCGTAAAAACAATGTTGACAAGAAAATTGACGTGTGGAACATTTTTAACAGTCATCGTAGTGCTAGTGGCTATTTACTTCAGAAGTCAGGATGAGGAGCTCCGGAATAGGTTGAGAGCAGTCCTCCATGGGCTTGAAAAACTCGAGACGAAGCATGGAATGTCAGCGAGACCGAGGGTTGCCATAGGTTACGGCGCCTGCACTGATATATTCATTGACACCAAGTATTTACTCCATTATTCCCCAAAAGTTGGGGAACCAAAGCATTTCGATGAGATTAGTAATGAGGAGGAGTTACTCAAGAGCTTTGCGTATTACTTTAGACATGGCGCTGCTGCCGAGTGAGTAGAGACAATTTTTACTTATTATTTACACCAATTTGATCAATTTATCGTTTTTGAACAATTTGTTTAATCAAAACTTGACCTATTTTCTTAAATAAACAAGTAATTGAATCGTTTTAATGGATTTTTTAATAATGGTTAAAGTAAAGGAAACTTTGTCAAGTTATTTTTTACTCTTAGTGAATCCATTCAATGAACTCAGTCATTTTTTTCTGAGGAAGTAACACATGGGGAAGAAATAAATGGAAAACTAGTGCGTTTTCTAAACAATTGAATTCCTATTAGAACTTTGAGAATTCTATTTTTTTAAATATTTGTTTATTGCCATGATTTGATTGAAAAATATGCACCTTTGCCGTGCCTTTTTGTTATGGATATCGTAAAGTATCAGTCTATTCAACAATAAATAACAGCCTATTAAATCAATTCGGGTTAAGAACGAAGAGAAAAAAAATGCGGTTGAGAGAAAAATAACAAATTTGCAACATAATTTTTTTTTATTGAAATCAGTATATTTCATTCCGCTCAGATTTTTTCTGTGATAATTTTTGGGCACAAATTTCCCAAGCTTTTCCGTGGATTTAATTATGAGAAGCAAATAAAACTACAGCGTAAAAAACATGGAAAATTTACACTCCAAAATTTCTATATGAAAATCAAAACCTATTGATTTTTTCCTACCAAATATCTATAACAGAATTTGCGCAAAAACCTAGAGAATTTTTTAATCGAATTTTACCAGAACTTCGATGGAATTCTTATAGAAATCTAATAGTCATTTGCATGTTGATTTTTCCATGTACTCACTCCCGTTCAGATTTTTTCTGAGAATTTTTTGCCACGAATTTTCAAATTTTCCCTGGATTTCTAAAAACTTGAAAAAATTACACTCAAAAATTTCTATTTAAAAATTAAAACTTATTTATTTTCTCGTACCAATTATCTCCGATGGAATTGACGCTAAAACCTTACAGAATTATTTAATCGAAGTTTAACAATATTGCAATGAAATTCCTATAGAAATCTAATAGCCATTTGAATGTTGATTTTTCTTTGTATTCACTCCCGTTCAGATTTTTTCTGAGAATTTTTTGCCACGAATTTTCAAATTTTCCCTGGATTTCTAAAAACTTGAAAAAATTACACTCAAAAATTTCCATTTAAAAATTAAAACCTATTTATTTTCTCGTACCAATTATCTCCGATGGAATTGACGCTAAAACCTTATAGAATTATTTAATCGAAGTTTAACAGAATTGCAATGAAATTCCTATAGAAATCTAATAGTCATTTGCATGTTGATTTTTCTTTGTACTCACTCCCGTTCAGATTTTTTCTGAGAATTTTTTGCCACGAATTTTCAAATTTCCCTTTGATGTCTAAAAACTTGAAAAAATTACACTTAAGAATTTCTATAGAAAAATAAAAACCTATTGATTTTTTTCTACCAAATATCTCCGATAGAATTGACCCAAAAACCTTATAGAATTATTTAATCAAAGTTTAACAGAACTCCAATAGAATTCTTATAGAAATCTAATACCAATCCATAGAATTTCTTGAAGAGAGCGTCTTCATATTAAATTTTGTCATAAGTTTCGTCGATTCACAAGATCGCGTTATCACATGAAAACCAACTTTTCCCCAGACGCTACATGACCGATGCGAATTTATTCGACAAGCTGGTGGAAAGGGCCAAGTCATTTCCGTCCTCATACTCCGCCATCGGTGGTAATGCCCCGGTGATGGCGATGAGGTTCAGCAAAGAGGGCTGTGACGTTCTATTAGCCGCTAAAATGACCCGATCCCTAAAGCTGATGATTCCCGAGGGAATCGAGGTCGTTGGGGGTGAGGTAGAGCGCGATGACGTGCATTTAATTCTTGAGTACAAGTATGGGGAGGTCTGGGGACCTTTCACGAGCTCACGGGCCAATAGGTACATTCTGCATAATGACGCGAATAATCCTATGATCAGTTCCCTCGAGGATTTCGATGAACTTTTGCCGGAGTTCCGACCGGATCTGTTCGTTGTCAGTGGACTGCAGATGATGGATAATTATTCGTTTGAAAAGGGTAAACATTCCTTTTAAATGTCAGTTTATTTTAACTGAGCGAGGCTAGATAATTCAACGGTATTCATTATTCACTATTTTATTTTTACTTTACTATTCAATTCTATTCATTTAGTTTTTATTTAACACAATGAAAAATTAAATAGTCTTGGCTATTCAATTTCCCTGTTTCAATTATTATAAAAACTAAATATTCAGATTACATTTATTTCGTTTGTTATACCTAAAAAATTATTGCTTAATGCCTTCGTCATGTTCCCTGTTTTTATTTCTATTAAATATTATCATGATTTGGAGACTCTTGTCTGCCTTTATGCTCAAATATTCTATCAATAAAAAAAACTATTTAATGCAGCTCTAATGCCAAAGAATAATTGCCACGAAATGAAAAAAATCTAACCGATTTCGTTTTTGATCAGGCGTTCGTTCTCAAAGACTGAATAAAATAAAACACCAAATGATAAAGCAACTTCCATCCACAAAAATACACTTCGAGATGGCCTCATTCGTGGAGAAGAGTTTGATGGTAGAACTACAGGACATGGTGATTCCGTACGCCGATAGTTTAGGAATGAATGAGCAAGAGGTTGCCAATTTGTACAATTCCATGTTTTATGGAAATGTTTCACTCGTGGCTGACTCGACTCCCCGGGTTGCCACCATCCTCGATTACATGAGGGTTTTGTTTAAATTAATAAGGCAGAGGGGAGAGGGGATTGCAAATGCCAGAGAGCTGACTAGGATTCATGTGCACACGTTGGCTTATCAGGCTATTCTGACGGTTAAGAACTCAGCCTGGAAGAATACTATGGCTGCTGCTGCTAAGGCTTCTCTCGTGGCTCATCGTCACGTGTGCGGGACTAGTACTGTAAGTACGAGGAGACATTTCCATTCCAATGTTTTCGGCAATTATTTATTCGTCACGTGCACTTGTTTTGCCAATACGTGAGGATAAATATGTCTTGATATTTTTCTCTGGGAGAAAACGAAAGAACAATGATTCGAATTCCATTCTATCGTATCATTATTTAATTTATTGAAAAGAAGAATAATGATTATTATTCATTAATACACGGACGAATTATTTCGTAGAAAAACCTAGCGAATTCGGTAGAAAATTTTACTGAACTTCTATTGAAAAATTCCAGTTTTATTGCGCACTTTCTCCGTACAAAATATTCCATAGAAACTATCTTCTAGAAAAAATGAGTAAAATTTCGTATTTCTACACAACAGAAAAACATTTCTCTATTAAGACACTCAATTTTTCGTCTATTCTCATTTTTAAAAAATGGAACAAAAAAATTGGAATCGAGGAATTTTTCTAGAAAATATTTCAATAAGTTGCCGATAAAAATGGAATTCTATTGATTTTTTCCATAGAATATTTTCCATTGGAGATTTATATTGAAGAAAAAATGGGCAGATGAGTTGCGAATTTTTCGCTGGTTTTTAAATCGTTCTGTAATTTTTTTGGTACGTGTAAAACAAGAATATATATCATCTCCAGATTGACGTCGCCAAAGCGACTCTGATAATGGACGACAGTTTCTCCACCTCGAAAGTATCTGGCACTAGAATACCAATGAACACCGAGAAACCAGTTTCCTGCTGGGACGAAGTCATAAAAATGAGCAATCGTGATATTGCAGTTGAAGTGTGCGTAGCACCGGTTCTAGTATGTACCGAGGCTAGTCAGACCGCTGGGGGTGGCGACAACATCTCCAGCGCTGGACTGGTTCTGCAGATTTGAAGTTGAATATTCTCGAGAGAGAGAGAGAGCGAGAGCAAAAGCCAGAGAAGAACCATGAATTTCTATATCTATCGTTATACGTCAATTTTAATAATCTCCCGTGTTGTGTTAAGTTTGGTGAACGTTGTTATTTCCAATTGTAATATTAATCTTGCATTCCTACATTACCAAAATCTTACGAAAGAATTGAGTAGTGGATCATTCCAATGTATGAATTTACATTTCGATTTTTAAAAGAGAATTGGTTCTGAAAAATTCAATTCCATCTTGTTAAGTAGTAGGTTTTACCAGTTTGGAGAAGTGTGTTTGTGCCATAGAGTTCGTATTCTCATGATATTTATGGGAAATTTTTTATCGAGCGCTGGATTAATCGAAGATCAAACGAACTTTCATTGTGATATAAAATAAGGAACCAAATTCAATTGAACGAATAACTGCTGCACAATTATGTGGCAATGCTGCCTAAAAACACTGCAATATAGATGATAAATGAGGCATTCCGGTATTACACTCCTGTTTTAATTTTTCATGTTGAATTTTTGTCTTGCATGACATTTTTTCATTATCGCAAATGGCGATAGAATGAGAAACACTGGATACGTTCTCGTTTTACTTCGAAAGGTAAAGAATACACGACAATTTGTTGTCATTATTTTCCGGAGTAAAAAGAAAAAATTGCAAAACCCAATTTTAAAGGGAAATTCATGCTTTTAATACAATGACCTAATCAAAGAAACGAACTTGCCTAGAAATTAACGAATGCAGTATATCAACATTTTATAAAACGATCGAACCGAGAGAAATGGACCGTCAATAAAGCAGTATACAACAGCCTTCCTCTTGCATCGACTCTCTTTATTACCTTTATTGCCAGGCAGTGACCTTACGTCGGTCAGTTTTATTCGTTTAAAGAAGTGTATTTGTGTCACAGATTTCGTGTTCTCATGATATTCATCAGAAACAAACGAACTTTCCTTGTGATATGAAATAAGAAACCAAATTAAATTAATGAAAAAATAATTGTTACATTATGTGGCAATGCTGCCGAAAAAACTGCAATGTAAATAATGAATGAGTCATTCCGGTATTGCACTCCTGTTTTAATTTTTCACGTTGAATTATTTTCTTGCATGGTGATTTTTCATTATCGCAAATGGAGATAAAATGAGAAACATGGGACACGTTTTTGTTTTACTTCGAAAGATAAAGAATGCAAAACAATTTCATTATTTTTCGTCATTATTTATTTATTCTTACGTTGTGTCATTATTTTTCGAAGTGAAAACATTTTCAGTCTCCAATATCTTCCAAAACATCTCATGCAAAACCCAATTAAAATAGATTCAAGTGCTTTCGATACAAGTGCGAGTGATATAATCCCACGAGCCAAAAAAAAACATTTCCTATGAGTATCGAACGATATTTTTCATCACAATGTGTGAAAAGTGTGAAATTTCACTTTACGCACAATTGATGAAAGAAACTCCTGCTTTTAACACAATGACGTAATAAAAAAAACGAACTGGCCAAAAATTTAACGAATGCACGATATCAGCATCTTTAACCCCCCCAAAAAGGCCCTTCAATAAACCAATAAACAACAGCCCTCTTGCATCGACACTCTTTATTACCTACAGTTATCCTCCAGAGTAAACACTAAAATGTAACAAATAAAAACTTTCCTCGCGAACAGAGACACCTCACAAGATAAAACCATAAATTTCACCTTGAAAATCAATGACCACGTAAAAACTATTTCACAAGACCCCCCTCCCGCCCACATTCAAAGTATTAATTACAGAATAGTATCACCCTCGTCAATACCGAGCATTCTGAGATCATCGGGTCCAGGTTGTCCATCGGGTTCGACATCAGCTTGAGTTATCTCGGGTGGTGGTTGATCCATGTACTCCGGCCCATACCCAACACACCCCAGCATACTGTCATACATGGATCCATACATGACATTATGCTCAACCTGACTGTCGTCCTTGGCGTCCGCATTGTCCTTCGGGAAAATGATGTTGAGAGCTTCTTGCAGGTCTTCAGGTAGTGGTTGACTGGGATCAGCAGCGGTTTTCCCGACCTCCGGTGTCTCCACAGCGTCAGGATGAACGTTCTCCACCGTGGGCATGGCCATGGGTGCGTAGGGGGTCTGAACAGGTGGAGGATGAGAATAGGCAACAGTTGGAGGTCTCACTGAAAATCTCGGAGCGTTCTGGGCGAAATGCGAGGGATTCGTTGGGATGAAAGGGGGTGGTTGTGTCGTGCTGAAGACAACAGGAGTCGTCACATCATTCTGTCCAGCTGCAAACGCCTTCTCAACATGCGCTAGCCCACTGCCCTTCGAATTCTCCACAATGCTCTCCTCAATTATCGTCTCCTCAGACTGATCCTCGATCTCCATATCAACGACTTGCGTCACAACAGACGCTGAATTCTTCGGCGCTGACGAGGTATTCAACACCGGTGGCGGTGGAGCCACCAGAATCTTCATGGGCTGACTCTTCGCAGGAATGTTATTAAGCGCAACAGGTGTTGCCAATTTTGTAATGTGCACCACACCAGGTGGATTTATTATCTCAGAAGGCACCTGCGGTGTGTCCTCGAATTTACTCTGCACGTAAGGCAACGGTGCAATGTCTCTCTCCATCGTCTTCACCTCCTCGTTCTTTTTTTTAAAGAGTGGTAGTCTACCAATGAAAGGGAGCTTGCCCTTGCTTGGCGCTGGCGCTGGGGTTTTTTTTAAAGGCGCCGAGCTTTTTTTTTGTTTAGCCGATTCGTTGGTTTTCTTCTCAAATTTTGACTCCTCAGTGGACTCCTCGTCCCTCCTCTCTTTGTACTTGTCGTAGTTGCGTTTTGGGCTCTCTCGCCAGTTTCTCTCTCGTCTCGGACTGTCGTCACCTCGTCTCTCCTTTCTTCTGTCGTCGTAGTAGTCACGATCTCTGTCTCGGCGTCTGTCGTATCTGTCGTACCGGCTGTGGTACTTGTCATCGCGTCTGTCGTATTTTCTGTCACGGTCGTCTCGGTAACGGTCGCGCTCTCGCTCCTCTTCCTTTTCGGGTTTCTCTGGGGGTTTTACAGACATGTTCACCTGCTGTTTCGTCCAAAACCCCATGTGGGGCTTCGGCATGTCCTCGGATTTTTGAATGTCCGTGGACTTTGGGGTCTTTTCCTCGTCTTTTTTTATCCAGAAGGGCTTCGGCGGCTCTTTTGGGCCCCAAGCCTCCAGGGGAGGCTCTGGCTTCGTGGGGTAGGTCTTCTCGGGCTCGACTTCCGGCGTCGGCTGCTCTTGGATCGTGCGTCGTTCGTTCTTCTGCTTCATCTCCTCCTCTTGCTTTGCTTTCAGTTTTTCGCGGATTGAGTTCAGGAGCTGGCGGTCGTCGTTCTCCTGGGAGTGACTGTCCGATTTACTCTGGGGAACGTGACTCCAGTGGCCCTTCAGCTTGATCCCGTGGTAGTCTATCTCCTCGTTGAGAATTGCCTGGGTCGATGCCTTCATCTTGTTTCGCATTGCCACGCGAATGCTCTTGGACATGTCTTGGTCAGAGTCGCTTTCTGTGTTCTCGGAGTCACTTGAACTTTCGCTGTTGCTACTTTTGTTTTTTCGCTTTCGGGATTTTTTTTTATTCTTCTTGGACTTTTTCGATTTCTTGGGCTTCGGCGGCGGCAGCGGCGGGGGCTCGTCCTCCTTTTGCTTTTGGAGCTCGAGCTGCATCTGCTTCTGGCGCTCGTCCGAAAAGGCCTTCTCACGGTCCGCCATCCAGTCTGTCTCCCAGTGAGGACTTTGCTCGACGAATCGCTGGAATTTGACGAGATTATTGGTTTTGTTTCTGCGGAATTTTATTTTTGGGACTTTTTCTTTTGCTACAGGGAGGAGTAAAATTCTACTGGACTATGGGGATTTAATATTTCAGGTTTATTTCAGATTTATATTCATTTCACAGCCATATTTGATTTTTAGTCGAGTTTTTCTTAATCGCTTATTGGAAGTTCAGGAGTTTTTTTGGCTGGAAAATATGCGAATTCTGAGAGAATTCAATTAAAGTTCTCTATTCATTTGACACATACATATTTCATTTTTAATTGATTTTTTCTTAATCGTTTATTGGAAGTTCAGGAGATTTTTTGCTGGAAAATATGCGAATTCTGAGAGAATTCAATGAAAGTTCTCTATTCATTTGACATATGTATTTGACATATATGTCAAATGTATTAGAAAACATTTTAAAACTCTGAAAAAAATTGGCAAGTTTACTTTTGGAGGAAAATTGATGCAATAATTTAAAAATTGCAATTTTTGAAAATTACGAACATTTTCTACAAATAATTCATAAACAATAATTTTCCGCCCTAAAAATCATTTGTTCGGAATCGTAAACAATTTATTCATATTCAGAATTTTCCCAGAAATCGATTTTATGCCTAAAAAAATGAGGTTTCCAAAGTTTAAACAATTTCAATTATTTATTTCTGAACGAATACTAAAAAAATAATAATTCTGTGCTAAATGGAATTTTAATGACGCTGAATATTCACGATTTTCTTCGAATTTTTTCTCACGCAATTTAATTAACAATTTTGATGATTGGAAATGGTTGAATCTATAGTGTGGTCTGTACCAAACTGTAAAAGATACTTGGCTATCCTTAACCCCCGCGAAAAATGGATTTCCCTACTCACCGAATAATTCTCCGAATGTCGTTTCGACTTCAAGTGAAGACTGGCGCAGTGAAGATCGCCGATCCACGAGTCACAGAGTTTGCAATACCAGGCTGTTGCAGCACTGAAGAATTGCAGTCCTATAATCAAATATAAAATAACATGAGTGAAATTTATGTGCTGTCATTAACGTCATAAACTTTCATAAGTTCATAAAGAATGACCTTGTGCTCAGCCTCGAAACACTCAAGTCACTGAAAAACAAAGATAGATACGTTAAAGGGATGATTTTTCAGATTATTTATCGTTTCTTTTTCGTTGAGTATCAAAATACTGAGTTTCTTCCGTCCACGTGCGACGCCAGATGACACCCTGAAAGGGGAGAGGGTTTTCTCGCTCACTTTATTCAACTACATGAACATTTACAATCAGGTACATGACTAATTACAAGTATTTTAGAGTGACAACGCCCAGTAATCGACTGTAGTTGTTGTTGGCAATAGTTTTAGTCTTTCACACGATGAAATAATCATTTTACAATAAAATTTGGTACTTTACACTCTTAAAATCTATCGCTGGAACTGCGCACATGGCACCTCATGTACTTTGTTCAACACTTTACGTTTTTTTAAATAAAAAATTGCACAATAATATTTCCACTGCACTAGTCTTCACTCAATCTCGATTTTCAACTGAAAAAATGTGATATTTCACTGGGACGATAGATATGGATCGTATATTGGTTATTGATGAGGATGTGTCCTGTGCAGATGCAGATCCGTTCACTGTTCTCTCTGATTTTTCATGGAGATATTGCTCAAAACTTAACCTACTCCAATAATCATTCAGGAAAGAACGTGGTATTCTACAGTTGTTCATGAGAGTTCGATTGGAGGGATTTTTGAGCAATACCGAACAAAAATCATCACTTGCTTTTTCTCTTCAATACATACCGGTAAAACAACAGTGTATCAGTGCACAAGCTACGGAATTGTATGCTAATTAGTAAATGTCCATTGAAAGTATGATCGTACCTTTGATTGGTGTCCTTTTAGTAGGCAGGCCAGGGTAATACGGCACTTCCCTTTCAGTTCCCTCTCCATTCTTCTCATGCCATGGCATATCGACGATCTTACGCTCCTTAAATGTGAAGAAAATAACCACAATAATTATTAACGAACGTTTCATGCTGTTTAATTTATGAATTCATTATTAATTTTTTTATTTATGTTTTTTCAGCATATTTCAAATACTTTTTACGATTTCATATGGACTAATTACTTTTTTCATTCTCTTTTTCTATGAAATTGATGATAAAATTTTTGAATATGAACAATTTTTTTTTTAAGTCAAGGCAGTTTATTTATGAAACAAAAGCCATCTTCTAATTCTTTCATGGATTTAACTCAAAAAATAGATTTTTTTCAGATTTGATAAATGTTCCTTGATTCAAGAATTCCAGGCAGATGTTTTCTTAATTAAAGCATTTTTCCTTGTTTGAACTTCCGAAACCTTTTTTTTAGGCATGAAAGGCATGTTTTTTCTCAGTGTATCATCATTAACGAAAACCCCTTTCGTGTAATTCCAGGCAGTTTTTCTCTAATCAAAAATATTTCATCCTCCCCCTCAATAAATCGATTCCAAAGAATCGATTTCAAAGAAATTGAACCATCAAAGTTATGCTTACCAAACAGGTTTCCTTGTGTTCAGCCGAATGGAGATGATTCAAATACTCCTTGGCTGTCTTTGGAAAAATATCGCAGATCTTGCACCAATGCATTTCAGGATCATAGTGAACAAAATTATACATGGGTTTAGAATCCTCCTCGACATTCCTCGTCATTTTTCTGTCCCTATCATTCTTGATTTCTTTCTCATTCTCCGAAGCCGATGATTTCTCAGGTGTATCCGGTGGATTGGCCTTTGGGAAATCCTCTTTGGGACTGCGAGACAGTTTTTTCGGTGCCTCAACCTTGAATTTCGTTTTGAGATCGTCAACAGTCGCCTCATCCCCGATTATCCCAGTCAACATGTCGATCACGTTGTGAATCGATCTCATTTTATTCTGAATCTCCACCTGCGATCAACAGAGAAAGTTTTTAAAAAATCATTCGTCATTGAATGCAGACGAGCTTGGGAAACTGACCTGCAGCTTTTGATTCTCCTTCACAATCCTGTTATTCTCACGTCCACTCTCTTTTCCAATCTCATCGCACTGCTGACGCAGAATTTCCAATTCCCTTTGGAGAGTCGTCGATTTCTTCACATAACCGTCACGCTGCTTCACCAACGTCGCTCTCTGCTGCTTAACTTCAGCTTGAATAGCTTAATAAAGATGAAAATAATGAGAATAACCAGAGCTGGGTAAAACACTACTTGAACTAGTGATTAAAATATTCATAACTATTCGTCATCTCAATTTCATCGAATGTAATAAATGAACTGGTATTGTAATTATTTCATCCATAAGAATACTATTCGAAAAGAATAGTTGATTTCAATGAAATCGAAAAGCATCCAGTGTGTGAAACAAATTAATAAAAGAATAATGCTACTGAAAAGTTTAATTTTTTTTTAATAGAAAAACAATTTTAATCCTTAAAAATGAAGAAAAAAAAATTTTAACCCTTAATTTATGTATTAAATTTTTTCATAATGTGCAAACAATTAAAGATTACTTCCAAGATATCACTAGAACAATAAAGATCATACGAAATTTTTCTCAATTTAATATGATTACAATACCATTTCATTTTTTATTTTGACAGAACGAATTAGCAAATGAATGACATCAACATGTGCACAAAAATAAAAGGAAGTACCCAGCTCTGAAAACACTAGAAATATCTACCTAAAAAATCATCAATTTACCTTCTTTCTTGACATCCTCAGGTCTTGGTACAGGTGCAGCAAGTCCTGGAGGTGCTGGCTCGACAGTTCTTGAAGTTTCGCTGGGTGGTGGGAGCGACGAAGAAGGCGCTGGCTGATTATTGTAACCCACCTGTCCCCCCTGCCAATTAGGGGGCGGATAATCCTATAATAAAAATGTTAAAATCAGAGATCCATGTTGTCACTCGAGTGAACAGTCCTTACCTTTCCGTACATTTCACCGGGGAATATCCAAAACAACAATTCATAACATCATGAAAATTACCCTCAGTAAATACTTACTGAGACACTCGAGCAATATTCAAATGCATAGTGTGTACATTTTAAAATTCAACTCGTCTGCACTATTTTATGGTGATCGATTGTTACCATACATCAAAGAAATATTGAAAAGAGCTTATGCTACGTGGCGTATACCCGGGAACATGAGTTTTATGGTCATGACGTCCTATTATCTGGTGCCACGTACATTGTAATTGTTCAAATAAACAGTGGTAAGTATTCTTTTGGACTTACACTACGGTAGCCAGCTGCCTGCTGATAGGCGTAGTCATATCCCTGGTTATAGGTGTAGTTATAATTTCCATAGGCTTGGTTGTAAGGTGGAATCGGCTGCGGCGGGGGCTGCGCTGGATTTGGGGGCGGCGGTGCCTTGAATAGGAACACGAATTTCATCAGATAGGGGTCACGACATGTGGAGATTTCGATTTTCTGGGTCATTCCACTGAGAAAACAAATTATTTTTGCCAAGTATTCTTTTACTTGAGAGAAGTATTTATTTTACCGTATTTCTCCAGTCGAGGTTAGTTGATTATGACCTTGAGTGAACTCTCTCGATAATTATCAATATTAAAAAATTAATCGACAGTTTTCTCTCTAGAAAATATGAAATTTAGGAAAAATGAATAATCATTGGAGGAGTTGATCCAAAGTCAAGTGCCTCTAGAGCGACATGATTGTCATAATTGAAATCTAATCAGGCCTGTGAATGACTCGATTGGAGAAATACGATTTGGAAAAAATGGAGGGTTCTCTCAAGTAAATTAATATTTGGCAAAAATAATTTTTTTTCTCAATTCGCGTACAACTTATTGCGTGGGAGAACTACATTTAGCTTTTATTTATCAGCTGGTGGATATGCTGAGACCGATGTGAATTATAATACCAAGAAATTGAATTCAAAAAGATTTTGAAAGTGTGAAATGCTTTTTATGCCAATTTCTAGTGAAATTTGCGTGATTTTCCGACACATATTCGATAGAAAACGGCCATAAATGTTGGTTTTTCTTATTCTTTCGAGATTTTTTGTGTACAAATTCTTAAACATGAGTTTGTCAATTGTTTCCTTGGGTTTTATCGTCTTCCCAAGAGCTCAATTTAATTAATCGAGTTCAGTTTCGACAATCACAAAGGGAAAGGATTAGACTTTCCAAGTGGAAAAAATTATCCCATTAAAAAAAGTAAAATCACTAATCAATTGTTGTCATAATAAATTGCATCAAAAAATCATTAACGCCAAAATGCTGAATTTTTCATCCACTCTTCATTACTTAGGGGAGGGTGGGGTAAAACGGACACTTTAGACTTTTTAAAAATTATTCATAACTCAAAAACAAATTGATCAATTGTGCTCAGTTCAGGCTCGTCACAAAGGGAATGAATTGTTCTTTGTATTGAAAAAAAAAATTATTAAATCTTATCAACATTTCAACCCCTCATTGACATTAAAGAAAAAGTCAAAAGTGTCCGTTTTACCCCAACCTCCCCTACTAATAAATTTCTTAATCAAGCTAAGCTCAGACCAATCCCAAAGCGAAAGAATTGGGCATTCCAAGTAAAAAAATTATCCCATTGAAGAAAATTCAAATCAACAATCAATGTCATCATAACCATTTCCCTAAAAAAATCCCTCATTCGAAAACGATAAAATCGACACATGAAATTACCTGATACTGATTATGAACCGGTGGAACATAGGCACTATTACCACTGGCTGTCGTAGTGGGTTGAGCAGTCGCCTGAGGATTGGATTTGTTCCAATCCTGAGACCTGGACTCCTTTCGCCTCCTCTCCCTGGAGCCAGACCTCCTCTCCCTCGACCTGGACCTTCTGTACCTCATCCTCCTGGGGGACGGCGATCTGTCCCTGTCGTACTTCCTCGATCTCCTTCGGTGTGAAGAGTCATCAGAGTCAGCACTGGGGCTCCGGGGCCCCTTCCTCCTGGTTTCCTGATCCATTTAGCACTCACCCGGACGCCTCGATGGGTGACAACCTCTGGAAATTATCAGTTAACTCTTGATATCGAGGCTTCCCGGGGTCTCCACGCACTGGGGGGATGGACTTGCCCCCTCGGAGGGACGAAAATCGATAGTCAACGTTTACAGGACTTGCGAAATTGCGTGAATGGACGGGGTAGAATGGACCGGTGAGGGCAGTGATGTGTTTACAAATGGGAAATTCACATTTGTGACCGACATGTGTCGAGCACAGGCGGCCATTGCTGCTATCACCGTACGACAAATGAATTATTCACCTCCCGTGTTAAATGCAATTCGCGGGGGGAATGCACGATCACTGGGGAGATTGGTGTCCGGCATATGGCGGTGGGAGTTATGCAGAATTCAGTGGTTTCATTACCCGATTAAAATAATTTGGAGAGGGTTGAGTACGTCGAGGTGTTTCTACTTCTCTACGATTTTTTTTCTCCGCTGTGGAAATTGTTTGGACCGGAAACTGACGGGAAAACAGTGGCATTCGCCGAGGGGCCGGATGTTACTTTGGAAATTCGCCTGGAGGGGGACTACAGCGACGGAAATGACGATTCTGGCGGGAGGCGAATGCATTGGTTTGAAGGAGGTTTGGTGCACGACAGTTTCGAGTGCGGGCAACAGGCACTTTTCATTTTTCATGTGGACACTTCATTTCAGTAGCGAGAAGTGGTAAACCGGTTTAAGTCGACTTATCTCCCAGTTGAGTTTTTGAGGAATATTTTCGAATCTAAGGGAGATAGCGAAATTTTCGTAAGTACATTTGTTGCAGCTCTCAATCGGCTCTACGAAAAAGATTATAACAAAACTTTTGCTATCTCTCACTGCGCTACTGATTTTTTTTGTGGGGGCATCCATTGCAATTCCTAAAACTTCTAGATTTTTATAAAAAAATTCGAGAAAATTCTCCGGTTTTTATAGAAAATTTGGGAAAATTTTCGGATTTTTCAGAACATTCCCACGATTTCCAGAAAATTCGACTCAGTTCGCGAGACACGGACACGTCGACGCGGCCGCAAATGAATAACAACCTAGACGTGTCATCAAGGATACCGCCGCTTAGGTTTTTTTAATGTTAATGAATAATTGAATTTTTGCGGAAGACGAATGATGTTTTTCTCTATATATAGTACAATTCTTCCACTTTGAAATGAGATGCAGACCTAGAGTGAGATCAATTCATACTTTTTTTCCGAGTTATAAACATTGAAAGCAATATTCCATTGTCAATTTTAAAATGAAATGAAATGAAAACGAAATGAAAATGAAATTGTTTGAGAATTTCAAATTTTCATCCAAATAATCATCCAAATGGTGTCTTTATTTGATTCCCCTGGGGATTCAAAGGACTTTCATTTCTCCTCCTTCACATCCTACATTCATTTCTAATTACCAACTAAGTGTGTCGTATTAGTTTTTTGGTTCCTAGTTCTATAATATTAATTTTGTTAAACATTCTCTTTTCCTGAATAAATAAGAGAACTTGCTTGACAACACCGATCATCGTTTTCTGTTAGGTTGCAAATATTTCTCGATATTTTGAACAGAAAATATTGAAAATATTATATCGATATTGGGAAAACCAAAAATTATATTTTAGTCCAACAGTGATATTCGATCTTAACTAATTTAAAACAGAGTTAAAATAAAAAAAAATAGGAATAATATAAATTTAGAAGAAATCTTATATAATTGATGTTATCTTTTTTTAACTTTTAAAGATTTTTATTAACGTCAATATACAACAAGGCAGCAGAGTGTACATTGTTATCGTGTAGGGAAAAGCCGGCGAAAAACCGTAATTCATTGATGTTATCTAATTATTAAGAAGGGAAGCCTACGTAGATGTAAAACAAAGAGATGAATAAATAAATAAATAAATAAATATATTTTAGTCCTTAGTCCTTAGTCCCTCATTAAATTCACAAAATTATCTCTGCAATTGCTTTATTTTGCTCAAAAAATTACAAACACATCATTATGGAGATCAAAGTCAATGGTTTCCCCCCTTCAACTTCCACTTAAACTTTTCATCCTTTCGATCCAATGTCTCAATTATTCTCGATTAGCGGCAGGGTTACGTTCCATTACGCACGAATTTACATAACGAAGTAATCCTGCAAGTATCGAAAACATTCGAATGAGCGATTTTGTTAAATGTTTTCTTTAGAGAGGGTTAAAATTGAATTGAATTGATTGAATTGAATTGAATTGAATCTTACGTCTGGAGATGTTCGCTGGAAGCATTTGCTAGACTCGTACACCTGGTCACATACGTCTCCGGGGATAGTTCCCTCTGAAAATTAATAGCATAATGAATAATTAGTACGACGTGAATCCTCGTGGGGAACACATTCCACAGATTCAAGGAAAACCCCCGACTTACTCGTGTCTTTACAAACGGCGATAATTTTCTCAAGTTTTTCTTTGTAAGCAGGTGGTGCCAGTTTAGCTAGGGCATCAAAGTTGACTCCTTTTCTCGAAACCTGCAGAGAACATCACACTTGAATTTTTCTGCTGAATAAAAAAATTGGATTCGAAACATGGAATGTTTTTTTTTAATTGAAAAATGAATAAGTTACTGGGAATTGGGGAACACTTCTGCATTATGTGCCGTAGCAACGCAGACGTTTTCAATCACCTGTATCGCGTTTATTTTTTATTACTCATAGCAATAAAAAAATCTCAGACGCAACCGTAATTATTAGAAATTCAGCGTTCAAGTCCATGCGGAAAGAAAAATGACTGGAAAACGTGAACATTAATTATCGCGATTATTTTCATGAATTATTCAATTGAATCTTCTTGAAATACCATTGAAATTGATAACAGGAAAAAATTAATACAGAAACCTAGCGAATTGGTTAGCAAGTTCTTTTAGATTTCTATTGAACTTTCTATTAGTCTTTGGCCGATTCAAGTGAAATGTTGAATAGAAAATATTCTGTAGAAAAAGCCAATCGGATTTGATTTTTCTATACAACTTATTTTATTCAGATATTTACTACAGAATTTCCTCGGCTGAAATTTTCCACGTTTTTGTCATTCTATTTTTCATTTTTTTTTCATCAACAAAAATTGAACAAAAAACTTGGGAAATTTGAGTCGAGCAAATTGTACAGAAAATATATGAAAAAAATAAGTTATATAGAAAAATCGAATTCTGTTAACTTCTTCTATTGAATTTTTTCTATTGAACATGTCAATAGAATCAGCCAAAAACTAATAGAAACTTGAATAAAAATTCAATAGAATTTTCTAACGAATTCGATAGGTTTTTCTATTAAATTTTTTCGTGCGTGACGTTTTGTTGAATTTCCAAAGTAAATAATAAATTCTAGAGGTGAATTGATCCCAAAATGATCTTGAATTTACACCTAAACAATTCACGGGTCGAATGCTTCAACTTCTACGAAATAAATAAATACTTGAAATACTGGAATGTCCGAAAATTTCTTATCTCTCATCACTTACTGCACCGAATTGGGCGACGGTACACTTCAAGTAGCATTTGAATTTCGGATCGTCAGTGAATTCCCCCTTGTTCGCTTTCTCAATCCACTCTGTTGAACAAAGCAAGTCATCACTTTAAGATGTTTCAATTCCAGTGGAATCGCGCATTCGCGGAGAGAAATTAAAATATGCTCACCAACTTTAGCGCCAGTTTCTTCTAAACAGACTCTTCGCACCTCGGGTGCGATCTCCTTGAACTCGGGGGGTATTTCCTAAGGGAAAAGCCAAAGTTAAAGAGGGCAGCCTGTTTTTTTTCAAGTGCCAGAAATATTTTATGAAAAACTTGGCAATTTTTTTTAAACCTCTCATGAAATATCTATTTTAATGTTTATTTGTTGTTTAATGTGAGGCTTTGAATCACTTTTATCTCTATACGATTAACTCTGCAGATCATGTTGAATGACAAAAAAAATAGTTTTATCGACCTCGCAGCTAATAAAAAAAAATTTACGTACATTTCCAACGCAGAAGTAATTTATAATATAAATGTGCAATTCAAAATGATCTAAATAATTGTTATTCAATTTTGAAAATAATTGGACTTTAAATTATAATTGAGTCCTATGATGATATTTATTATTCATTTCCTTATCTCGATATCTATACTGTTAATTTTGCAGGTCACATCAAATGACAAAAAAATGAATATTATTTGAGGAAAAATAAATATTATTTATAGGAAAATTAATCATAAAAACTTGACGTACACTTCTATCGTAGAAATGAATTATGGTATTAATTAATTTTTATTTAATTTTGCAAATGATTGTGCTTTAAATTATAATTGAGTTCTGTCATGATATTTATTATTCATTTCATCATTCCGATATCTACTGTTAATTTTGCACATCACATCAAATCTCAAAACAAAAAAAAAAGAATATTATTTATAGGAAAAATAATCAAAAACAGTTGAGGGACATTTCCATCACGGAAATGAATTATAATATGAATGTGAGATCCAAAATTATCGAAATAATTGGTATTCAATTTTGCGATGATATTTATTACTCATTCCATCATTTCGATCTCTATACTATTAATTTTGCAGATCATATATCAAATGACAAAACAAAAAGAAAGAATATTATTTATAGGAAAAATAATCAAAAACAGTTGAGGGACATTTCCATCACGTAAATGAATTATAATATGAATGTGAGATCCAAAATTATCGAAATAATTGGTATTCAATTTTGCGATGATATTTATTACTCATTCCATCATTTCGATCTCTGTACTATTAATTTTGCAGATCATATATCAAATGACAAAACAAAAAGAAAGAATATTATTTATAGGAAAAATAATCAAAAATACTTGAGATACGTTTCCATCACAAATAAATTATGATATGAATGTGAGATTCAAAATTATCTAAATAATTGTTATTCAATTTTGAAAATGCTTATACTCTAAATTATCACTGAGTCCTGTGATGAAACTACATCAACTATTTTCAGAAAAGAATTATCACAAGATTATTCTCAATTACTCACGCCTGCATTGATGACAGCCACCAAACAAACCGCAAGGGAAGCACTGATAACGTATTTAACCATGTTTCCTCGATAATAGAAAATTAATGAACGTCTAACTATCAACTTATTCTTAGGACTGCTAATAATCCGCTAAGAGCCGGCATTTTATACCGTGAAAATGAATCACGTAGGAGTTAAGAGATGCATTAGAGGTCTTCTTCGACGGAGTGATTATCCTCGTGGATGGAGAAAAAAAAATTGTGCAAGAAAATTGCTAATTGTTGACATTGAACATCAGGCTGAATTGATTTTATAGCAATGGAAATTTTTCTGAATAAAAAATTATATTTTCCATTGGCTTCTTGACGTCTCCAAACAACTTTTTACAGATATTATGTTGTTCTTAGATGAAACGATTTATGGCTGAAGAATTTTATCGGTTAATAGTTTACATGTGCAAAACTAAATTCACAGGAAATTGTCGCGACGTGCTGTAAAGGGGAATGCGTCTTCAGGGAATTAGCATTGGTGATTATTCAGTGATGCATAAAAAGTTGTTCAATGAACTTGCTGTATCATTATGGTCATTCAGACGTTCGTTAAAGCAGACGTATTTCAAAGTGATTGCTTTATGGGATGGTGTCACACAGCTGCGAGCATAATATGGAGGGAATAATATCAGACGAATTGATGATCGATTTGAATAATAAGAGAGTGAGTCATGAGATCACGTATGAAAAAATTGAATATAAAACGTTGGGTTTTCTCGGAGGATTTCTCGGGGTTTTTTATTCTAAATGGATGCTTCGTTATTGCTGAAATTTAAGATTCCAATTCTTACACGCACGAAAAAGTTTAATAGGAAAAACGAACGCATTCGCTAGACAATTCTTTTGGATTTCTATTGAATTTTCGATTAGTTTTTGGACGATTCTGTTGGAATATTCAATTGAAAATGTTCTGTAAAAAAAGTCAATAGAATTCGATTTTTATGTACAACTTATTCTATTGAGATATATTCAAGTTTTTCTCATTGTATTTTTCTTTTCTTTTCATAAAAAAAATTGGAAAATTTAATTGAAATAAGTTGTATAGAAAAATATAATTCTATTGACTTTGATGATAGCAATCGGCTAAAAACTAATAGTCAATTGCGAATTCACTAGGTTTTTCTATTAAATTTTTTCATACGTGTAGGATTAAGGTAAATAGATATCGTTTGAAAGTCCCAATACGCGTTTATTTTTTCAAAATTTGATTGGCACCAATTAAAATTCAATTTTTCATAAATTTGAAAAAATTGATATTGTCCAAAAATCGATTTTTCAATGATTACTCAAAAAATTGTCATGAAAATGGAATTAGTCATGGCTCAAAAAATTGAGAACAATTCCCTCTTAATTCTATCAGAATATGATGGGCGTCGCACAATCCATTGTTGAGTTACAGCACATTGTTTATGAGATTTGAACGAAAAAATCGTTTTTTTTAATGATTACGGAAAGAATCGTCAGTAATATCAATTAAATTAGGGCTTGAAAAGCAACTTATCCTGTTAGGATTTTTTAAATCAGAATTCGTGCGCGTTTTTCCTAGTTAATTGAAATCGGTGGAAAAACAAACGGATTTTTTTTTGGAGTTTCAGCAGAATTCCTTCGAGACAACCTCACATTTCTCTATTAAATTTCTTCATACGTAGCATTGTCGTCAAATTGCCGGTCACTTTTTACCACTGAATAACAGCCCAATTATCGCAGGTCAGTGAAGATCAGCTGGAAAAAATTCTATCCTGTTGCGGCAGAGTTGACGTCACGTTCGTCGACGTTAAAAAAATTGTTGTCAAATTTCAGAATAAAGATCATGTCATCAGGTCGGTAAATCACAAGTGTCAAGGCTCTTTAATATTAATGAATCGTTTTTCCAGAACCTTGAGAACTCGCCTAGTTTCTTATAACTTTAATGGCTTGTGGAAGAGCCTTTCTCCGAAATTAGAAATACTGAACGGTGATTCGCCAATTGAAAAATTGCCAGGGGATTGCCTTATGAAGATATTCTCATTTCTTCCGATTATGGAAAAACTGATGATCGAAAGAGGTAAATGTTGTCACAACTCTGCTTTTCAATTGAAAACAGACATCATCTTTAGAGATATTTGTTATGTTTATAGAGACATTAGCACGCGATTTCTCGACCCGCTCTTTCATTTGAGCCCAAAAAAACATTCATATCTTGTCTGACATCTCTGCTACAAACTCGGGTCTACAACTCGGGCNGAGTTGGTAGCAGAGATGTCAGACAAGATATGAATGTTTTTTTGGGCTCAAATGAAAGAGCGGCTCGAGAAATGGCTTGCTGATGCCTCTAAAGATGGTTTTGAACCAGGAGAGACTCCTAGACCCCAATGTTCCATACATACTCCTAGACCCCATTGCCCTCCTAGACAATGTCGTCACAACTCTGCTTTTCAAAAAATTTTCTCCATCTGTGAGACGGACATCGCTGATTGTTGGGCCCCCGTTGTGCTGGACAATAAAAACCACCGAAAAAACAAAAATAATACAGCTAACACATAGAGCTGTGTTGCAGAAAAATAATGAGGCAGTGAAGGCTGTCAATCTAATGACAGTCAATGTTGTTCACAAGCGAAATCAACACACACTGGAGGCTATGCGTCATCAAGAAAATTATCCCAGCTAGCAGTACACCAAGTCTGGCAGTCAGAATACTCTAAACTCAAAGCAAAAACTTATGTCTAGCAGTGACTTTTTCCTAATGAAAATCGAGGGACCGAATAACTGCTTGAGCAGAATTTTGAGGAAAAATGTTTTCGTAGAAAAAATTGCATAGAAGGATGTGATTCTAATGATTTTGTCTGTAAAATATTTCCTATTTAAAAAACGCGCAGTGAAGCTGCGGAATTTTTCAATTGAATCGGCAAAAAATCAAAAATTCAATCGAAGTCCAATACAATTTTCTGTGGAATTTGCTAGGTTTTGCTATGAAGGTATTACTGGTGTGTCTCTAAATACTGAGATGAATACGAATTATTTATTTATTCATTTATTTATTTATTGCTGTGTACAGACCCAATAACACAAGCCCAATTATAGAATCAAAAATTGTTTTACCTACTTAATTACTCACAATATTTCTGTGACAGAGATAGAACAGATATAGGGGAGGGTGGGGTAAAATGGACACTTTTGACTTTTTTAAACATGTTCATGACGTGTTGAATTGTTCATGAAATGCAATAATTTTGTTTTTCAATTGAAAGGACAATGATTCCCCCTTGTGATTAGCTTAGACTGAGTTCAACTGATGAATCTGTTTCTGAGTTACGAATATTTTTAAAAAAGTCAAAATTGTCCACCTTACCCCACCCTCCCCTATGTACGTAATTAAGATGCAGATTTTAAAACCAAATATACCTGAGCGAATCCGCCAATTCTGTATATGAAAAATTGTCTCAAAATTTCAAGTTTTCCGCATTTATTTTCTCGATGTCTAGTTCCGGTTGCGGGCTTGAAATTTCGTCGGATGGATGAATGCATATTTCTCCAATGATGGAGGGAAAGAAAAAATTTTTTTTGAATCTTTTTTCAAATTCACTTGGCACTCTCAAGTTTGCAGACGATGGAGAGAAATCGGACTGCAAGGCTGGCCGGAGATGAAGCAGTTGAGGATATCCTCGGAGCTGAGTAAATTCACCCCATCGCAACTGAAGCAAATCTTCTCGAGGTGTGGGAGATTTCTCAAGCTCCTGGTGATTCCAGTGATAAACGAAGAAACTGATTGCCTGCCGCTGGTGAAGCTGCACTGTCTCCAGCTCAATCAACTAGCGGTCGACATTAATTTCAAAGCATTCCCCAAGCTTGAGATGTACTGTAAAAATTTGGCTGAGATATTCGGCGCATGCGAGAGATTGACTTCAGTCAAGATATCCGGCGTTCATTCGAATTTTAATTACGAGTGTCTGGAGGGACTTCCGAGAGATCGGATGAGAGAACTTCGACTCTATGGTCCGTCTTCTGAACATGGAACTCCTCTCCATCTAGTAAGTATTGTTAATCCTTCTTAATAAATGAAATACAACACCAGTTAAATCAAAGGGCGGCTTATTAGAACACAACGAAGAGATATTTTTAATGACAGGAGTCCAGAACAAGTGACATTAGAATCGAAAGACGAAAGTATCCAGCGTCCATCATGAAATATATTTCAGCTTCTTCGTTCAAGAGAAGGGAGGAACCCGCAACAGTATCTACACTGTTGGAAAAAGTAAAATTTCATGAACAGTCGACTAGTAATTTTCAGAACAGTCCATTAAGTGCGATTTAAGGTACTTTCTCAGTGAGTTATACTTGGTGAAAATTGCGCAATGAACTGAAGACCTAAAAGTTGAATATGTTGTTGAGCACATGTGAAAACGATTGTCAAAATTTCAAGTATTTTTTCCACTGATTTTTACCATTGAGTTATGAGTAATTTAAAAAAAGTCTAAAGTGTCCATTTTACCCCACCCTCCCCTCTTATTTGTCCTTGAACATGAAAAAATAAGATTTGTCGAAAATTATTCTTAAACATCCTTAAACATCCTTAAGGGGAAATAAATCATGACATTTTAGATTTCACTGACAATTCAGTGAAATTCCAAAATTTTTAATAGCATTGAGATGAGAATTCCTCAACCTTTTTAAATTTTCAATGAAATCATTGCCCGTACCGAATTTTTGCCACAATTTTCTTGATTTCTACTAATTTTCAGGGAATAATTAAACTGACATTTTGGTCACCGAAAATGACGAAACTATTAAAATTTCAGTGGCACTATAATATGATAAAAAATTTCTGATTTCAAATAATATTAATAACACGAAGTAATAATAATAATAATAACAATAATAATAATATGAATAACACGAAGTAATGATGAACTTTAGTCTATTCGATATATTTGCACATCTTTTCTGTTGTTGCGTGAATTCAATCATGTCTTGTCCATAAAACTACGCATGAATCCTATAATTACGTGATTTGAGAGGCTGATGAGGCACTTATCGTATTGTAAACTTGGTCATTTAGTCGTTTGAAGTCATTTGCTATGGAAATTTTGAGGAAATTCTAATGCTTTCCTTAGATTTTACCGGATTGATTAATTCATTCGTATTAATTTATCTCCAGAATCTCCATGGATTCGAGTCCCTAGAAGAGCTTGAGCTCAAAGGCTTCGTGATAGACGAAAAAAGTTTAATCGGATTGGAAAATCTGCGAAATTTAACAGCTCTGAGTCTTGTCAATAGTCAAGTGCACGTAAATCACGTGAAGAAAATCAAGGAATTCCTGAAACTCCAGCAGTTATCACTAGAGAATATAATCAGCGAAATTGATGATGAGGACTTGTCGGAAATCGCGAGAAACTGCAGAGATCTTTCATCATTGAACATAAACAGTGAGTGTCACGTGGAAATTGGAATATCTCGAAATCCAAGGGAGATAGCGAAATTTTCGTCATGACCTTTTCTGTAGCCCTTATTTCGCTCTACAAAAAAGGTCATTATGACAATTTTGCTATCTCCTTCAGATTCGGAGATATTCCTCAAAAACTCAGTTAAGAGCTAAGTCGACTTGAACCGTTTCACCGTTTCGCTATTGGAATTGAAATTCTGAAGGTAAAATTTTGAATTTTTCCTCTAGGATTGGACAGGCTGACGGATCGTTGCTTCGAACAGATATCTCACCTCCAGAGGCTCGAAAAATTAGAGATGATGGGTTTGACGAGAGTGACGGACGCGGCAATCCTAGGATTATTTAATCTCAAGGAACTGCGCTGTCAGGATTGTCGTCGTATTGGGAATACCGGTTTTGTTAGACTAATCAAATGGGCTCCGAATCTCGCGAAATTGTGGGTGGAGGGACCCTTGATCACCGAAGATTTTCTCGTGGATGTCAACGATGCGATGCAGTACCGAACGAGCGGAGTCAGACTGCACCTCCACTTGCATTCGGACGCAGAGGACTGGGAACAACCGCGTTATTTATCCCCATTATTGATGTTGGCTTACACTTGGTGAACGATAATCAGTCATTTTTTAATAATTCATTCTACTAATGATTTATTTCATGTTTATACAACGCTTTTAGGAGATAATTAAAAACGAAGTATTTTGCAGGAACGCGATCGTGAATTCGATGCGAGAAGATAGAAAATCGTTAACTTTAGAATTAGACCGAATTTTTAATGGAATTCCAAATGTTTGAGCAGCGGGAAGACGAGAATTGCCCAATTTTTTTCGATCAAAAAATGAATATTCAGTACGACATTGTATTGAATCCTTAAATAATTGAAAATTCAGGAATCAATTTACCTGAAAAAGCAAACAACTCCTACTGGAGTATGTTTCTATGGACTTCCCCAATCCCCTAAAAAATTGCCAACCCCCTCGGAAACGTACTTGAGAATAGTAGAAGGGTGAATTGTTGCCGAAAGTAGACTTTCCCCCTAGAAAAATCCAAGATCTCCCATTTTGGCTTGAGGTAGAAAAAAAAAAATTTATTTCTGCATTTCTGGAGCCCCCGAGTGTTTCATTGGCATCAGAATCGTTAATAGATACAGAATCAACGTTCACTCGACGAAAAAATTCGATTTTGCCGAAAGTCGACTTTCCCCCTGGAAAAATCCAAGATCTGCCATTTTGGCTTGAGGTAGAAAAAAAAAATTTATTTCTGCATTTCTGGAGCCCCCGAGTGTTTCATTGGCATCAGAATCGTTAATAGATACAGAATCAGCGTTCATTCGACGAAAAAATTCGATTTTGCCGAAAGTCGACTTTCCCCCTGGAAAAATCCAAGATCTGACCCCCTGGCCTCAGGTGAAAATGAAAATTTTTCATTTCAACGTACTACAGTAAACAGAGAAAAATCACCCAACAAATCAAGTACTGGTGGAGCAAACTCGATTTTCAGTACTGTTTCACCCCGTATCGAAGAAAAAATTGGATAATTAATTCATAAAAACACCATATTTTCATATACTAATTTATTTCATGTTTATACAACGATCAATGATACAGACGCTTGAAGTACTGGCGAGTTGGACCAAACAGAATGAAAAGTAACCGATAAAAATCACTTTCGGCATCAGGACGTTGAAGCTATATACAAAGATGATATGATCCTCAAAAGAGAAAATTACGTGATGAATATTGTATACTTGTGGGAGAGAAATTTGCTTGAAGAATGTATAACGTTCCAATAACTGCCATCAACTAAAAAGGATCAGGTTCATTGGCGAAGATTTTATGCACTAGTTTATTACGTAGAAAAGGGAATTGTTCCAGACTTCAGTATTTGTGCTTGTGTCTGTGTTTTCTCGCGGGTGACGAGGGGCTGCTGCCCCGATGTTTAGTGTTGCTCCTGGGTGGCGGTGGGGGAGACATGGAGGGAGATCTGGCTCGTCTCTTGCGTTCACTTCTGTCGCTCCTCTCGCTCCTCTCGCTCCCAGGAGATCGCCGAGATGATCTCGACGAGAACACGGGCGATGGAGTCGTGCGAATTCTGGGGGGTGAGGGTGTCACTGGGGCTCGCTTCCTGTGCGGTGAACGAGATTTTCGCTTACTCCTGGGCGATCTGCTGCGCGATCTGTACTTTTCACGAGACTTTGGGGGAGAATTCGGCGAGGCTCTCCTCCTCTCTCTGTAGTGGACTGGCGAGTCCGGGGAAGTGCTCCTACGTCGCTCGCGTCTTCTCTCGTCGTCCCTCTCTTCAATCTTGTGGTCTTTCGAATCTCTCTCACTCTGTAAAGCATACTTAAACAAGGAAATTAATCACATGGTTGAGTGGGATAGTAATTGATGGTTGAGTGGGACAGTAATTGATGGTTGAGGGGTGATCATTCATTAATCAGTTGGATAAACTCCGGTCAAATGCAAAAACAAGTGGGAAATTGGTTTTATATCAATTTATAATGGCAATATATTTTTGATGGAATTTATGTAACGATGTATTTTTAATTGGATTCAATGACTGGATGAAATTGAATTTTTTATTATTCAAATGGAGGGATTGTTGAGCCTTATTAATCGCCATTAATGAAATTTTAATCGATCTACTATTTTTTTTTATTTTTGATTTTTTTCAAAAATCGGTTGTCCCACGATAACTAAAAAAATGTTCTAAATTCATTGAATGATGGCCTGAAAAATTTAGTTGGATGTCCTCTTGACCGAGTTCAAAGATGAAAGCGTTAACAATAATCATTATTTTGATTAATTTAAAAATTTTCAAAAATTTTGTATTTTTTGAAAATCGAAATTCCAGGGATATCTTTCAATATAATGCTTCAAATGAATTCAATCATAGCTTAAAATATTTGTATCAATGCCATTAAATCGAAGTTAGAAAATGATTACGATAGCTATATTTGTTAATTTGATTTTTATGACGATTTTTGAAAATTTCGAATTTTTCATGAATTTCCCTGAACGTGATGTTCCAAATTCATTCAAGTATGTATAAATAAAAATTTTCACTATTTTAACAATGCGAATAATGATAACATTCCACAAATTTGAAAATCTGACAAAAGTAGTTGAAAAGAAATCACATTCAATTTAATAAAACGAAATAAACAATGAATTAAACTTGATAGAAGCAGATGACGTGCATTCAGAAGCATATTGCGAATTCATCATCAGAAATAACTATCCTGTATGCAATACAAGAGCGAATTCCCACTTGTTTTCTCACTGCAATACCTCATAAAACGAATCATCCAACGACCGATGCATCCCGTCCCCTCAAAAACATACTCAGTTACCTTTCTGATGAGTTTCTTCCTGTAGTGCTCGACCTGCGCCTGGATCGTCATCCCCGACTTGAGGCTCCTCCTCCCACTCTCCAGCTCATCCTGATACTGCATAGTCTTGACTTCAATCTCCCTCAACCTGGTTCGCCTCTCCTCGTTGTAATCCCTCCCCCCAGAGTCCATGCTGGCATCCTGCGAGTTGGAGTCGTCGTTCTGCTCCAGCTCCTCCCACTTGCTCGTCGTCATGGCCTGAGCCTCCACCTGATCGGGATCCACAGTCTCCCACCTCGAGGGGACGAATCCCGCAGGCATAACTGGCTTCTTCTCGCTGGATTTACTCCTGGAGTTGGAGCGATTGTCGTCGTCCATTGGAATGCCGTCGATGTCGTCGTCCATGGGGACTCCATCGATGTCGTCGTAGTTACTGGTGGGTTGAGGGGTCAATCCGAGCTTCATAGCGCCCTTGAGCAGAGCAGCACCATCGAGGGGCACTCCGTCCAAATCCTCGCTGGGATCTCCGTCGACGTCCGACAGAGGCGCCCCATCAATATCCTCATCCTCCACGACTTCTGGTTCGTCAGTCGTCGCGAGCCCCAAGAACGTGTTCTGGAGCCGGACGAGGAAGTCTCGGGCGTAGACCGCCCAGTCCTCCCAGGCCCTGAACATCCTCATTACTCGAGCCTTGAAACTCTCGGCTTTCAACTTACTGTCGAATTGCTTGCAGGCTTCGTGAACCTGAAATGCAGTGAAAAAGAACATTAATTCAAGTAATACGAAATATGAAGTGGAAGAATATGATATTATCACAATTGTGGTAATTTATCGTTGACTGACTGACAATTTTGATTTTATTTATTCATTTATATTTTTATTCGGTGTTTTGATTTGCAGAATGATTTTCAAAAATTTCGTATTTTTCGAAAATGGGAACTTCGGAGGTATCTTTGGATATTGTGCCTCCAATTAATTCAGTCATAGCTTAAACTATTTAACTAGAAGATGATTTTTTCTTAAATTTTCCTGAAAGTGACTTTTTCAACCATTTCTTAAAATGATGAGAAAGGTTTTCTAATACCATTTTGTCCAAGTTTCAAAATAATATAGATAGCATTATTCTTTCGGTTTATACAAGAATTCTCGCAAGAAGTCTAACACAATTGATTAAACAAAAAATATAATTCAATTGAGTAAAATGATATAAAACGATAATTGATATCAGATAGATAAGAAGAAAATGATGTGATAAATGACTATTTGGAAGCATATTGTTAATTTATTAGGAAAAATAGCTATCCCATATGAAGACAAAAGCATTTCCCACTTCTTTACTTTAAAATTGAGAATTAAATGAGTTTAAAACGAAATGACTATTTTCATCGCTAACATCCGTGAATTATCTGTAATACTTCTGTGTTGCCCTCATGGGATTTTTATCTCAGGGCATAAATTAAGAGTCTTCAAATAAAAACAAATCATACCTCAATGAATATCCCGAGGAGACGCGCCTCAAACGCCTTCCTGTAGATCGTGGCATTCGTCATCTTGACCCCACAGTTGTGAAGAATGTCGGAGATCAGGTAGAGACGAGCGATTTTCTTGTTCACAGGGGTCTGGACAATGCAGAGAGACTCGGCTATGCAGTCGCATATTTCTTCTGCTGCTTCTGCGTGCTCGATGCAGAATATCATTACTTCCGCTATTTTTAAACGCTCGGGGGAGATGTTTCGAAGGAGGTCCTCTAGTCGGTCTCTTTGGCTGGGGATTTCATGAATTATTGAGTTATTCATTATTCGTAATACAGTAGTGAAGCGGTAAAACGGCTCAATTCGATTTAGCCTTTACCTGAGAAATATCTCCGAATCTAAGGAAGATTATGAAAATTTCGTAATGACCTTTTTTGTAGAGCGACTTGAGGGCTACAAAAAAGGTTATTACGAAAATTCCGCTATCTCCCTTAGACTCGGAGATATTCCTTAAAAACTCAACTGAGAGCTAGTGATATTGCTTAGTGTGAATATGAATGATGAATTTAATTAAAGTTAAGGTTGATGTGTAAGAGATGAAGAGTTGTGAGTGTAAAGTAGCGAACAACTTGCGTAATATCAAGGCAATGAATGATTCGATTGAATCATATTGTTTCGTCTCCCTTGGAGTCTTGTGTGAAAAATTTATATTTGTGACGTGAATGAACTTTTTGACAAGAGCACACGTCAAATAGAAGGCCACAGTGTCGATGTTTCTGTTATTCCACTTATTTGTATCAATCCACCACAATTACCTATTCGATAAGCTTCCTCTTCTCGGTTCCTGCCTCTCCTCGACTTCAATCAACTCCTCAGGCATCCCCTGAGTCCACGGATTTATCGGAGGTGGTCTCCACACACTTCCCCCTTTGAACATGCGAAAGTCTTCCGTCTGCCACTCCTTCTGCCCATCTCCCTGCAGAATTGAATACAACTTCCAGCGGTAATACGTGTGGGCTGGTGAGTAGTTCTCGAATAAAAATCTGTAACCCGATCGGAAATAAATAGGAGTTGAGGGCAAATCTATTTGAAGTAATTCTACCCTTTCGAGTTTTTTTATTCAGAGCATTCAAACCATTCGGTTTATTCTGTTACGGAAGAATTATAAAAATACAGAGATATATATTGTATATAAATTACATGTCTACATAGTTCTTCTAAAAATTCTTAATTATGAATTTAAGAGAACTTTTCTATCTAAATTTTTCCAATTAAGAATATCCAAGTACTTTGGCTATTTTTTCTCCAGTGAAATAATTTTCTACTTTTGTAGTCGAATTTCAAAGCTTTCATTTGAGCCCCATTTGATCCTACGTTTCCGGATATTTTACAATGATTTTATTATTTAAACTTTGCAGGTTTGAATTTAAATTTCAATATTGAACCGTTAGAAAGCATTTTAAAAATATAAAAAAAATTGATAGTTTACTTTTGGGAGAAGATTGATGAAATAATGAAAAAATTGCAATTTTTGAAAATTACGAGCATTATATAAATAACTATAAATTATTTATAAATAATCAAAGTTATTCATATTCATAATTTTACCAGAAATCAATTTTATGCATAAAATAATGAGGTATCTAAAAGTTTAAATAATTTAAATTATGTATTTATAAACAACGAATGTTTAAAACATCACAATTCAGTGCAAAATGTAATTTTAATGACGCTGAATGTTCATGCTGTTTTTCAAATTTTTCTCACGCAATTCAATTGACAAATTTGAAATGGTTAAAGCTATAGTGTGATTGTACCAAACTGTAAAAAATACTTGGATATCCTGAAATGTTTAACAATCAGGATTTAACCCAGTGTCTTATGTGAAAATCATTTCCATTATTATTAAAAACCAAGAACTTCATCTTTCATTCATCGTTCATCAGTAAGCAAGTTCCATTATCTAATTAGGAGAAAAGTGTTTTAAAAAATATTAATATTTCGAACAATGTAATTAACACGGTCGAAAGGGTAAAGCTACTTCCACAATCACCTCAATAAAAAATTCAAAAAATCACCTGAACATGGGATTATTCAGCTCTCGATTCATGATCATCGCCTCGAACATGGGTCCCTCACGAATGACAAATTCCACCATTCTATGTATCAACATTACTAAGTTCCTAAATGCATGAATGGAGTTTAAAAAAAAAGAAAACACTATATTAGTCCTTCTGCTGTTCGTTCGACGTACACGTTGGAAGTCTCCGACTCCACGTCGAAGTTTTGATAGTCAAAACTCAGTGTTATGTGTGGAGGTAATCATACTTACAAAATTTTTCATTGTACATTAATGGTAAAATCAATGAAATACCTTTCTGTTGGAATAACCACTTTGACAACAGCATTCTGCAATATCTGTCAAAGCCCATGCCATCACAGTGCAATCAGTGTGATTATTGTTGTCGTATTTCAAGAGGGGGGGAGTGCCAGAGCCCAATAATGCCAATAATGCGCCCCCGAGAGAACGTACGCCGACAAGTCATTACAACATAATTTTTAAGCGTCAATTAGTTTAAGAGTCTTTCCTGATTAATGATTTATGAAATTATTTCGGGAATCACTCATTCATATTCTCCACCGGATTACTCACCCGTGATATATATTTTTTTCACAACAAAGTTCACATTAATTATTGAATAATCAGCTGAACGTTATGTAACTGGTTACATCTGACATTGTGTCAACGCTCAGAAGATTTTCCAATTCTCCAACACGTGGGAGAATAAAATTGACGTAATGCTTTTTTGGTTCTTACAGTAGTGAATAATTTTACCTTTTCAAAGTTTTCCTTTTCCTGGGGGTCCGCGCTCTGGAGGTTGCGGATACGTGGTATCTGAGATTACGTTTCAAAAACATGGTTATACGATTCAACAATAATTATTCTTCTTTAATTATTATTATCGAGTGGTTAATTTGATGATTAAATTATGCCAGTTGATACATGAGACGTTTCTCATACTGAATTATCAATGCTATTGCTTCGTGATATCAGGATTTTATTCTGAGAGAATTGGATATTTCTTTTTTATCGAGTGGTTCACTAATAGTTCATCGGAGACTTCCTGCAACGCATTGATATATTTTTTTTCCTCCTCTACTTGTACTGAGACCCGAGAAAATTCAGTCTTTCACTCGTTATTGCTAGGGAACACGTGGGGGGGATGCCTTGCGGAATCAACTTGTGAATGACACAAATGAGGAGTTTATAAGTACTTGAGTAATAAAACCAAATTCGATTGGATACGTGATTGAGCATTTTTATTAATATTACGCTCGTTTTTTAACTGGGATACCTTGTGCCTATCGCGACGGTGTGGTTGAGCGTTGAAGGGGAGGCCGGAGGGTGGTGGTGGTTGGGTGAGCTCCATCAGGGCTGGTGGAATGTAGATTGGATATGGTGGTATTGGCACACTTTTACCCCAGCCCAGTTTCATTTCGTATTGCATTATGTCTCGACCTGGTTCAAGGGGAAAACAATGAGGAATTTATGGTCTGGTTCATCTCTGTTGTTGCTGGTATATAGCTAGAGGGTTTAAAAGAATTAAAGGGATGTTGGAGAAGATGAAAACAACATTTTAGGGCTGAAGTTGGAGTTTTCGAGGGATATCTCCGTATCTAAGGGAGATAACGACATTTCCGTAATGACCTTTTTTGTAGAGCGAATTGAGGGCTACGAAAAAGGTGATGACAGAAATTCTGCTATTTCCTTTAGGTTTCGAGATATTGATTGAAAACTGGTCAATGATCAAAATCGTTTGTAATGACAAACGAGACGTGACTGTGACGTTTAGACGATTATTTGGACTTCATCGGGCTCATGATTCGATTAATATTTTGTTCCGTTGATATTTAAAATAATTGTGTTTGAAGAAATGATAAGATAATGCGAAAACAAATGTAAACAGTAGAAAATCCGTTACTAGTTCATTTCATCTTTTAAATAGAATGAGTATTAAATTTTCTAATTGTGGAATAGACTTGGATAAACTTGAATGGAGTGATCTATCATTCTCACGTGTAGAAACGTAAAAATTAATAAAAATTTCGGAAATTTCATAGAATTGCAGCGACTTTTTACAAATTAACTAAGATTAGTTAAGATTTATAGATTTTCAGAAAGATTTCTAAAAACTGAAAAAACTTTTGAAGGAAAGGGTGGGGTGCAATTTTATGAAATAAAATTATTCGGTTTACCATTAAGGTTCTTCAATGCTCTCTCCCCATCCCGCCTACTCATGAACGCTACGAATCCGCAATTCCTCTGTCTAGCCTTCTCCTCGTCACTCCTTGGCCACATAATTTTAATACTAGCTAGAGGTCCGAATTTACCGAATATCTCCATCAACTGTTGTTCTGTGATCTTTGGATTCAGATTCCCCAAGTACAGATTCGTAGTGTTGGGGTCACCATTATCAAAAGATCCGTCTGAAAATGGGGTGGAATAACAAAGAGGTTTAAAAATTACATCTAATTTAGTTAATTCTAAAAAAATTATAATAAATAAATATTAAAATTATAATAAATTAATTATAAAGAATAAATATTAACAATATGAGAAATTAGAAGGGGTTAAAAAATTTTAATCTAATTTATTTGATTTTCATTGACGAATAATTTTTTGAGCTTCTGTTCTTTTTCACAAGGAACCTCTTCAGATAAATTCAATAAAGATTTCCAAACGTCTTCAATGCCGCATGATTGACTGAGTAACTTCTCTCATTTTTGAAGATTGAAAAAATATCGTCAGACTCGTCCATGACTCGTCCAAATCATATCATTATTCAATAAATACTAACAATACAAGAAATTCGAAGGAATTGAAAAATTTAATCTAATTTATTTAATTCTCATTGAAGAATAATTTTTTGAGCTCCAGTTCTTTTTCACAAGAAACCTCTTCATAGATATTCAATCAATATTTCCAATCGTCAATGACTCAAGACTAGCTGAGTAAAATGCCCCGATTGTTCTCTAAAATGAGAAATGAGTCGTCCAAATCGTCTCATTTACTCAATAATCCTTATTACCAACGTTCGAAGCCAGATTGAACTTCCCCTAATCCCCAAAAATTCCCAGAGCCCCCAAAACGTCTCAGACCTCCCCCTGCCAAAGTCCAATGACCAAGAATCCTTTCCCTTACCTTCGACACACTTCAACGCAGCCAACATAGGGTCCTCCGACTGCGTAGTGATGACATTTTTCACAACCCCCTTGTACTTGTGCCTCTCCTCCCTCTCCTCCTGAATCATCTTGAGCTCCTCCTTGAACAGTTCCAAATTGCTCTTCTTCTTCTCCCCCTCCTTCTTCTTCTTCCCAAGTCTATCAGCCTTGCGTTCATTGCTGCCAAGTAGCTTGGCATACTCCTGTGCCTGTTCAGCCGACGATCTGCTGTCCACAAGTTCGGAGATCTTGGACTGTGGTTTGTAGAGTTTTCCCTTCTCCCTGGTGTCCTCCTGCCTCTTGCCAGCGTCGTAAGTACCAGCCTTGACCCAAACCTTGCTCGTGGTTTTGTTGGGAGTCTCTTGAAAGGTGGCAACAAACTCCTCAAAGGCCTGAGCAGCCGCCTGCTCTTGCTCCTTCTTCCTCTGCTCCTCCACCTCCTTCTTGCTCAGGGGTCGCTTCCCCATCGTTCCGATCGAGAATGCCTTGAGCTTTTGCTCAGCAATTTGCTACACACCACCAAAATAACCCCACATGCCTATTAAAATCATCAAATCGCATAAAACAAGCTGATTTACCTTCATTATCGCCTTCTCCGCCATTTCACTAGTTTTGTTTTATAGTTAACCTACAAACCCAACATTTTTACAACACAAATCGTCTGGGAACCCCGGAAATTAACGGGGATCGCTCTCCCCCTGGGGTAATCACTGCAATGGAACAGAATTGTTTCCACGAGAGGTTAAAATTTTTCGTCAACTGATTGGAAAAATCCCGGTGGACGAAATCAATCGTAAAAAATGAAAAATTCTTGCCAGGTGGAGGCTACTCCGTTTTGCTTCTCACAACTGAATCGGTCTGACGTTCGCGGCAGGAGGGAAACTTCGTTAGACAGTTTTGCCAACTGGAGGAGCAATTTTCGATGGAGTTCGTCAGGGGACTGGGAGATGGCACTTGGAGTTTGCGGTTTTCAAATCCTCTTCTTTCCGTTGTTATTAGCTGTTTAAGGGGAAACGGAGCCCCTGCGCTTATATGAATCTTTAGAATTGTATTTTCTCCTGCAGTTAGTATTTTTTATTCATTAAACTACTTCATTGACTCAACAATGCGATAATCGAGTCGATAAAGTAATTTCGTAGATAGAAATTAATAATTGTAGGAGAAAACACAATTCTAAGATTTGATGTAGACAAAGGGGTTCCGTCTCCCCTTAATAACGACACTTTCTAATAGAGAGGGTATTTCATTTTTTTTTAAGGGAAGGGTATCTCAGCATTTCTGAATAAACGAAGGGTTCTCAGAATTCCGTATAAAACTCATCTATCTCAATTTTCCGGGGAAAACTCATGTAACTCAGACGAAATAAAAAAGGACATCTCAGTATCGGTAATTTTTGTGAATTTCCTACGTTATCGATAGATCAATAACGCATTATCGCATTTTCCTCGTTATCGATAGATCAATAACGTAGGAAAAACACTAAAATTACCGATGCCCATTCAACCGCATGTATAAGTAGCAACTTCAAAAATTATTCCCATTATTATTGTTTAAGTAGNGGACATCTCAGTATCGGTAATTTTTGTGAATTTCCTACGTTATCGATAGATCAATAACGCATTATCGCATTTTCCTCGTTATCGATAGATCAATAACGTAGGAAAAACACTAAAATTACCGATGCCCATTCAACCGCATGTATAAGTAGCAACTTCAAAAATTATTCCCATTATTATTGTTTAAGTAGGGGTCTTGACATTTTGCACACGGCTTTCAAATGGATCGAATAATCTGTCCAGCAATTTTCATTGAATTCTCTGCTTTTTTTTTCCAGCTATGGACCCCGCCATAATACCCTTAAAATGCTTCCACTCGGAAGCAAAAATAAACAAATTATAATTGTGGTATGGAAATTCCGGATTACTGCAATCATTTAGCTCCCTCGAAACAAGTACTTCAATTGAATACTTGGAATCATGATAGTTATAAATGATTCAGGGAAAAAAACGCAAGTGACTAATGAAAAATAAACGAAAAACTCCAACTAAAACGTTACCAGCATCAAAATATCAGTAGTCCACAACGAAAATTAAGATGCGTTTGTTTATTATTAATCTTACGTAATATTATTTTAAAGTTCTTAATTATAATATTGCATATATTGATCGTAATATAATTATAATATAGAAATGTATACAGATTAGATACAATTTTTCACTTTTATCTCCATATTGTATAGACGTTTTATCCATTCTCTCTCACTTCATGTATTTCTTTATAAATCGATTGGTATTATCTTTCATTTATTTTAAAATTCAATTACACCATTCACACCTTGTTTATTTTAGCCCCGAAAACAACACCTATTGAACCTTGAACCTCGCAATAAATCACTTCAACTCGTGTCCAGGGCAAATCAGTCGTATTATTATATATGTTTTGAACACAATGTTTTTACATATGACGTTAGGAAAATTACGGTATTTCATTTACTCTGGCCGCGGCACGTTCTCAGTTATATTCACCGAGGGTAATTAATTATTCAGCTGAGTTACACTGTGAAAGTATAAGCATTTCAATCATAACATGCCTCGATTCATCTCCAATTTTTTTCTATGTATAAGTGATTCTTCTCTCCTATTAAATCAAAACCAATATTCTAATGCATGAAGACAAGATCAAACGTCGTGATGATGGTATTATTTACAAAAGTGTGAGTGTGTATTAGCTAGATAAAAAAATACAGACTATCTCAACTGTCAAATGAACTCTACACGATCACTCATTTTCTTCATTCATTTACGAAATAATTGTACAAACTCGGACGATTTAAGGATATCCCAGTATCTTTTGCAGTTTAGTAGAAAAAAAATCATGAATATTCAGCATCGTTCAAATTACATTTTGCTCAGAATTATTATTTTTTTAATCAATGGTTGTCTATAAATAAATGATTTGAATTGTTTAAACTTTCGGAAACTTCATTTTTTTGGTCATGAATTCGATTATTATATGAATTATATAAATTATAGATTATTTACAGAAAATGCTCGTAATTTTCAAAAATTGCAAATTTTAAATTATTCCATCACATTTTCTGTTTTCTAATGGTTCATTATCAAGATTCAATTTCAGAGCTGCTAAATTTGAATAATAAAATCATTGGAAAATGCCCGGAAACTTAGTGTCAAGTGGGGCTTAAATGAGAGCTCTGATGTTCGACTACAAAAGTAGAAAAGCATTTCACTAGAGAATAAATAGCTAAAGTATAACAATCACACGAGAGATTCAACCATTTTCAGTCATCAAATTTGTCAATTGAATTGCGTGAGAAACATTTGAAAAAAATTACGAATATTTAGCGTCATTCAAATTACATTTTGCTCAGAATTATTATTTTTTTAATAAATCGTTGTTTATAAATAAATGATTTAAATTGTTTAAACTTTCGGTTACTTCATTTTTTTAGTCATGAATTCGATTATTATATGAATTATATAAATTATAAATTATTTACAGAAAATGCTCGTAATTTTCAAAAATTCCAAATTTTAAATTATTCCATCACATTTTCTGTTTTCTAATGGTTCATTATCAAGATTCAATTTCAGAGCTGCTAAATTTGAATAATAAAATCATTGGAAAATGCCCGGAAACTTAGTGTCAAGTGGGGCTTAAATGAAAATTCTGATGTTCGACTACAAAAGTAGAAAAGCATTTCACTAGAGAATAAACAGCTAAAGTACAACAATCACACGAGAGATTCAACCATTTTCAGTCATCAAATTTGTCAATTGAATTGCGTAAGAAACATTTGAAAAAAATCATGAGTGTTTAGTGTCATTCAAATTACATTTTGCTCAGAATTATTATTTTTTTAACCAATCGTTGTTTATAAATAAATAATGAAAATTGTGTAAATTTTCGGAAACGTAATTTTTTTAGTCATGAAATCGACTTCTGGTATAATTCTGAATATGAATAAATTTGTTACGATTCCGAACGAATGATTGCTATGGTGGAAAATTGATTGTTTATAAATTATTTACAGAAAATGCTCCTAATTTTCAAAAATTGCAACTTTTTCATGATTTCATCAATCTTCCTCCAAAAGTAAACTCTCGAATTTGTTTCAAAATTTTGAAAATGCTTTCTAACGCTCCAATATCAAGATTTAAATTCAGACCTGCAAAGGTTGAACAATAAAATGATTCTAGAATGTCCAAAAAATTAGGTTCAAATGGGGCTGCAAGCTCTGTTGTTCAACTACAAAGGAGAAAAGCATTCAACTGGAGAAAAAAATAACCAAAGTACTTGGATATCCTTAAATCGTAGGACTTTTAACTTCATAAATTCACGTGGAACTTCATCCACCCGAACTTCTCCCATCCAAACTCATTTAATGATTTCGTTTGAGTTCTTAGCGAAACGATAGAACAAAAAAATTTACTCATGGAAGAGATGTTTTGGTGTAACTGGTGGAGGGATTTAAAAAGTTTACCCGTTACAATTAGCTTGGAACATGTCTCGGCCAGCACTTAGTCTATGTAAATGTATACATTTCTGTTGTTTGCTAATTGGCTTAAATACTCTGTATTTTTGTGACAACTGTTGAATGACCACTTTTTCTTCATCTTCATTAGTCAGTTTTGTTTTATTTCTCTCTCTCATTTGTCTATTCATAATTGTTTTTCTTTTTGGTAATTGTCACGAGTTTACGTGAGAGTCTGTGTGAATAATTTAGGAATCATCGAAGTGAAGGAACAATTCATCGTCGATCTGAAATTAAATATCGCCTTAAACGGTTGATTTCAGTCGCTGGGAATCAATTGTGGGCTTCCAAATGTTCCAACAAGAATGAATAACTCACATCGAGGGCAATTCTACACCCAAAAATCCACTGCCATGTCTCAACAAGAATTCCCACCGCCCCATAGCCCCCATATATTTTTTTCTCCTTAAATAACAAGTGTTTTATGCATATAATACAGTACATTTTTCGGCAGTTTAGCTATTTCAGTGTGAGATTTATCGTAGTTTAAATATTCTCTATCTATTCATTGTTTTCTTTTTGTAAAATTACACGTTTATCAGTCTGCGACACTAATATTGCATCTTTTGAAAAGGGAGTGTACAGTCAAGCCCTCTTCGAATGTGTGTAAAAATAATTATAATTTTATTGCTATTTTTTTTCACTTTTTCCCTTTTCGTCACCTCGTGCATGAGAAATAGCATCAATAAACAGACATTTTATTTTCAACGCAGGATTTTTGGGCGCAGAACTCAGTGAAGATGTGAAAACAATCCCAGAGTCATTAAAAAAAATCATCAAATCATTAAACTGAATTTCGTCAGTTGCATTGGCCTCTCCCCACATGACGTCTCCAATTGATTCCACAAATAGCAATAAATCCTCGCAATTTTCGCCTCGAAATAAATCATGAACTCATTGAAAAATCAATCTAGTGTTTTGGAAATTGTGTGGTAAATGCATGCATGACGAAGGCTCTGGAGGAATAAGGAATACAAGGGATAATATCTAAATCGTGTTGTTCTCATTAAATTTAATCTGCGCCTGTGAATCAAAATATTAGCGCAGGGTCCTATACGATTTGTATAAAAATATACAAATTATTTTTAAAAATTCTGCACTGCAACGTAATCACGGCACAAGTTCAACCAAAACGCTCAGACATTACCATGATAAACTTCTCTGTCGTGTTGTTACTGCTCAGCGTTTTGAGGAAATTTATTAATTCTTATACAACAACTCTTCATGATTCATCCACTTGAGATTTCGGGGTAAATTGCTACCCTCTGAGTGAATTTTTTCACCATTACTCTTCAATTTTCAACAAAATAAGGGACATTTCGACACTTCCTAATGAAAGAAGGGTATTTCATTTTTATTTTTAAAACAAGGGTATCGCGGAATTCACTGTAAAACCAATCTATCTGAATTTTCCGGGGAAAATCGTCTGAATCGAACGAAATCAGAAAAAACCTTTTCCGTGAACACTGATTAGTGTTTAGGGATATCCCAGTATCTTTTACAAAGCACATTATAGATTCAAGCCTTTTCAATCATCAAATTTATCAATTAAATTGGGTGATAAAAGTTTGAAAAAGAAATCATGAATATTCAGCATTATTAAAATTACATTTTGCATAGATTTATGATTTTTTCAAACATTCGTTGTTTATAAATAAATACTTGAAATTCTTTAAACTTTCGAAAATCTTATTTTTTAGGCACGAAGTCGATTGACTTCTGATAAAATTCTGAATATGAATAAATTTGTTACGTTTCCGAACAAATGATTTTTATGTTAGAAAATTCATTGTTTATAAATTATTTATAGAAAATGTTGGTATGTTTCAAAAATTGCAACTTTTCAATTATTTCACCAATTTTTGTCCAAAACTAAACTTTCTAATTTTCATTCAGATTTTTAAAATGTTTTCTAATGATTCAATATCGAAATTCTAATTTGTGATGAAAATTTGGAATTCGAAATTAAGAACTCCAAATTAATGGTCAGAAATAAAGGGTCACAAGGGTGTTGATGAGGGTCAGAATAAGGCTCTAATTAAGGGTCATGGGGGTCACATTAGGGCCACGTGAGGTTCACATGAGGCTTCCAAGGCGTTGACTGGAATCTTTTTCTAAAAATAAACCAATCGCTCCCAATGGCTCGCATCATAACAAACGTGGGGATATGAGTACCACTTGCACAGTATTTAATCAGAGTTACAGAGATAAGTCTTTTTTTATTTCGTCTGAGATCCATGAGTTTGCCCCGCAAAATTGAGATAGACAACTTTCATACGGAATTCGGAGATACCCTTGTAGTAAAAATAAAAATGCAATACCCCTGTTTTACTAGGAAGCGTCGAAAATTTGAGCATCATTAACGATTGGAATTGATCAAATCCCTCATTACACCGCAGAATAATCCCATTAATTCTACAAGTGAATTGACCCTTTTATTATTTTTTCGACAAATGTAACGATAAATTTCACGCCCCGATGAAGAATAAACCCTGGATATATCATAACGATTACCAATATCGTGTAAATCCCCATTTATTTGTTCAATTCCAACCGTCCGAGCAATATTATCTTGACGAACATGATAAACGTCGTCGCCCCCCTCCCCAGTTTTTTTCCATCACTCGAATCACGGAAGTACAGTCGATTAAATGGAACGACGAATTCGAAATCAAAGAAAATCATAACAATAATTAACAGCAAAAAAAATGATGATGTGTGTTAAAAACAATTGCATGCGATACGCGTGTATTTTGTTATTTTTTTTTGTCAATTTTCATTTTATTTAATTATAAAGTACCTAGGTTTTTCTTTCGCGTATGATTATACCACTCTTGATGAATCTTACATGTATACGTTTTTTTAACTTTCTTATTAATGCATTTTTTTGTGTTTTTTTCTCCATCTTTATGTATAAATATGTATTGTTAAGCCGGGCAAACACCGTTTGTTTAGAGTCCTTGTTCAGCAACAAACAGCACGTTTGCACCCTCCACGTGCATAACCCACACACTCACAAAATATTTTCCCCACTCACCCATTACCAATTTATTTATTCCAAAAGTCCCACTCATTCCAAAAAATTTCATTCGAAGTAAATAAAAGTGTCTCGAGTTGTTTTTTTTTTCATCTTTTTACGAACTCCTCTCTCTCTCTTTCCCACATAACTTTAGTATTTAAAAGCTAAACCCTAAAGCTGCACTCTTGTTTTTTATTTATTTTATTTTATATCATTCACCTATGTGTATTGTACAAATAACTAGCATTCAATGCGTCTGTCTCTCGACAATTATTTGCTAAAACCATTACATTCGTGACATCGTGTATAAAACTCTATCGGAGTACATGGTTACATCGTTTATATATATAATTCTTTTATTTTATCCGATAATAATAGTAGTTATCACTTTTTTTTTGCTCTCTAGGCCACACAATAACTGATGCCATCTCATTTGTGGTTTTATTCGTTTTTATTCAACTCCATTAGTTAATCAATTTTCATGGTTTCTTTTTAAATTAATGTACCGACTAAACTTGATTCTTTAAGTGTCTGTTTTGTTAATCGGGCGGGGCCCGAGAGGCCAGTTGGGTTCATCCTCACTAGGCCGTTGCTTTCCCCCTGGTTACCTCGTATTTATACATTTTTCACACGTCATTACTCATCGCCCAACGTCGGGGCCCACTCGTCACATTGGTAAAAACAGAAAAAAACAAATTTCTCCAACAATTCCCTTGCCTTCACCAAATTTACTACATATTCAAGTCATTCCATAAACCATTGTCGATGATCCTCGAGTCTGTTCGAGGATTAATTGTCATATCTATTGTAAACAATCGTCAAGATTGCTCTACGTGTCGTGTTAATTGTCTTCACCAAGATCAACATTTTCTAAAATTGCATGTCGAAAACAATTTCATCAATTTATAGTGTTACCCCCCCCCCTTCCGTGTTTACCAAAAATTTGAAATTCCAGTTGTACGAATAATTAATGAAAAATGAATTTCAATGTATAGCAACTGGACTCTGTTGTACACAAACACCAACCATTGGACTGTCCTCGCGCTCTGGATCTCTCTGTTTGCTCGTTGCAACTGACGTTGGTTGTCTAACAATACCATGTGCATCATTACCCCCATAACTGTAGTTGTAAAAATTTTGTTGCGGTATCATAGGTGATGTCATCATAGCCGGTAAATGCCCCATACCAGGGAGAATGAGGCTGTTGTAAGTGCCAAGAGAGCTTTGTATCCGTGAATTGTCCATTGACTGCATGGACGTTGGGGCTGAGGTAGTTGATACCTCAGTGGCTGATGCTGCTGATGGATATAGGGTCGTGTTAATACGACGATTACCACATTGACGTGGTGATGATTCACACTCCATCGGTTGATATACACCAGGTAGGCTTGGCACTTGCATCAAGCTGCTACTACTGCCACTACCCTGCCCTGACATTGTTACCAGTCCTGTGGACACGTGAATTTATTGTCTTTAATCAGTCGGGGGGGCTGGCATTATAACATGCAATTCATGTCACAAAATCAATTTTTTTTTATCGAGAAGAAATGAAGGACTAATGCTAGACAATAGTCACCCACTAAGACCTCTATGGTTTTTTGCACTGTTGGAAGATTTTGAGTTGATTATACTTTTGTACATGGCGAGTCAGTGATGGGCAGGCTCAGGTGTATCCCTCGAAAATGGGGTTTTCTTAGAATTGTTGTCAAGAAAAGAGTATTGAAAAAATTCAGTAGCGAAGTGGTAAAACGGTTTAAGTCGGCTTATCTCTTAGTTGAGTCTTTGAAGAATATCTCCGAATTTAAAGGAGATAATGAAATTTTTTTAATTACCTTTTTTCGGGAGCAAACTGAGTGCTACAAAAAAGGTTTTGACAAAAATTTGACTATCTCCCTTCGATTCCGTGATATTAACTAAAAAGTGGTCAATAGTCAAAATCGACTTAAATCGGTTTACCACTTTGCTACTGAATTAGTACTTTGGCTATTTTTTCTCCAGTGAAATTCTTTTCTAGTTTTGTAGTCGAATATCAGAGCTTTCATTTGGGCCCCATTTGAGCCTAAGTTTCCGGGGGTTTTACAATTATTTTATTATTTGAACTTTGCTCGATATTTAACCATTAGAAAACATTAAAAAAATCTGATTAAATAATTTACAAACAATCAATTTTCCACCATAAAAATCATTTGTTCGGAATCGTAATAATGTAATGTAATAATGTACTAATGTACTTGGTAGTTCCCATCACTGTTGCATGTTACCGATGACTCAATGAATATATGAAAGTCCAATGAAGTTTCAATTCTCAAAAATTTCCAACAGTGCACGTCAAATGGAACGTGGCAGGGGGCAAGGGTGGGCTACGAAGAAATTAATTTCTAAGGTTCTACATGGGAATGAGGGGTTGGCAGGCATTTGGATCCATCATTGAGTCTCCTAACACCCTTCCTCGTCTCGCGATCTATTTCATGATTCTCTCGTCCAAAGGACAACACAACTTCTCATTGTAATTTCGATCGTAATGTCGTGCGTGACGTGCAGTAATCAAAGAGAATTCACCATAAAATCACTGATTGAATTATGAATTATCGTTAAAAATGATTAAATTGGAAGGAACGATAAACATCAAGAAGGACACCTCTGAGTTGCAAAAAAAGTTGGCAGAATCTGGCGTCAAGGTGATGCTTGACACTTGACTTTGTGAATTTATTCATTAATAAATAAGTTAATATACCAGGGGGGAAATTCGACTCAACGCCACGTGTAGAGCGCACAATGCAGGTTGCTAATAGCATGCGATTTCTTTCTCCTCGTTTATTTAAATTTTAATCATAATATTTTACAAAACGATGGACTGATTTCACTACAAATTAAAAAGAAAAACTGACTGACACAGATGCATTACACCATTAGACGCTGGAATACCTTCTCCTCGATTGATGAAAAATTCTGAAAATTATTTCTTTCAATTTCCAATGATCGAGTGAATTTATTAACAACAGACAGAGGCCACTGAGAAGAAGATATTCTAGGCCATTAAAGGAAACGTCATTTAAACTCAAGTGTAAACTGAGGGCTTGGGTCGGGCTTTGGACTAGGGAATATGTTATTTATCAATTCATGAGGATAAAATTGTCATCGATGCACGCAAAAATGAAGGCCAGAGCCACGGGCTAAATAAATACGTTCCATGGCTCTGTCAGCGTGAAATGGTATGGAAAAAAAACGTCAAATAAAATTGGTATTCATTTAGTCAATACAGGCAAGCAAGGCTTCGCTCATTGCAATCCGAGGCCACGGAGACACATGATTTATCGAAATAAAAAGTGGGAGGATTGTTAATTTCTCTCATTTCAGATGAATTGACATGTTTTATTTCTTTATTCTGATTGTTTTTTTTCATAGGATTTTGTTGTTAGACAGAAACTTACTTATGTTAGTAAGTAAGATTAGGGTTGGGGGCCTAGGACAGGTCGTCGCCGCCCCGCGGATACGACAGTCATCGAGCCACGTACTGTCCCCCCATCATATCTACGGGCAACAACAAGTATTTGGTTTAGTTTTGTGCAGAAACTAAGCGATAACGTTAAGTTACAATCGTTAACACTTCAATTTCTCGCATTATTTTTCATTTATATCTTCAGGTTTCTGCACCATATTTTCTCAATTTGTCTCACTGTTTATTTAATTTGCCAAAGACGTTTTTTTTGTAGTTCCTACTTCACGTTTTGTTTTTTTACTCAGCCTCGCCTGAATCCCTGACATCTCTTAACGAAAAAAAAGAGAAAAAAATAGAATAAAAATAAAAAGATCGACTAAAGTATTATCTTACTTTCTGCACAAATCAAAACTCCTAAAATTCTGAAAATCTCTGAACAATGTCCTCAACAGTCACAACACTCGGTCGTCAATCGTCTCTCGAGGCTGATCCTAAAAATTCAGGTGCCTTTTGCTTTAGATTAACATTAAATTATTTACAACAAGAGTTTGCAGTGGTTTTTCACACTCGTCTGCCTCTGGATGTGACAGCTGACGCCTGGAGTATTAGCGTTTGAGGCTGAATTGCGATACAAATGTAAATAAAGAAAAAATAAAAAAGAATGATGAAAACTTAAGACGATGAATGATGGATGAAATCAAGCGGCACAAGAATACATGTGCAATGACTCATGTTAATCTACACTCGACGTAATACGAATTACGTAAAATTGGTTTTAAACATTGTTTAGACCGTTATTGCAATCGTAGTGGCAAGACCTCAGTGAAGTCTCAATGCAATCTTCGCGCAATTGATAGACTGAATAAATTCACATGATCTGAGAGTCACTTGTAGATACACATTAAAAAAACTGAGTAATAATTCAATTCTTCATATGAAAATTAAAAAATTATTTATGTTCTTGTTCATCTCCATTGTTATTAATTATCCAAAAATATCAATTTAAAATTATTCATTTTTGTTTGGACAATCTTCGAATTTCCTCCAATCATCTAAATCATATTAATAAACAAAATATTTTTTTTTTAATCTTAGAAATATGTTATTGCATGAAATTTTTGCACTGAGTAAAATTGCAGAACACAATCATTCGACGAAGAATTTTTAACAAGACCTCATTAATTCCTCAGTGCAGTATCTCCCCTCAATCAATTAAAATTCACTGAATAAATTCACATTATCTGAGACCGAGTCTTTGGCGATGCACAACTTCACATAAAACCTCAACAATAATTAAATTCTTCATATGAAAAATTAAGAACTATTAATTCTTGTTGGAAGAATCTTCGAATTATTCCGTAAAAATAATTTCTTCGACTCTGTAAATCTCTTATTACATGAAACATTCATTTCTCAGTGCAATATCTCCCCTCAGTCAATTAAAATTCACTGAATAAATTCGCATTATCTGAGACTGAGTCTTTAGCGCTACAAATCTTCATAAAAAACCTCAATAATACTTAAATTCTTCATATGAACAATTAAGAATTATTCATTCTTGTTTGAAGAATCTTCGAATTGTACCGTAAAAATGATTTCTTTGATTCCGTAAATCTCTCATTACATGAAACTTTTATGTCTCAGTGCAATATCTCCCCTCAGTCAATTAAAATTCACTGAATAAATTCGCATTATCTGAGACTGAGTCTTTGGCGTTACAAATCTTCATAAAAAACCTCAACAATACTTGAATTCTTCATATGAAAAATTAAGAATTATCAATTCTTGTTTGACAAACCTTCGAATTGTCCCTCAAAAATAATTTCTTTAATTCTGTTAATCTGTTATTGCACGAGACTTTTGTATTGAATGAAATTAAAACCCAAAAATTCGATGAGAAATTTTGGCCAAGACCTCACTATTCATTCCTCAAGGCAATATCTCCTCTCAATGAATCAAAATTCACCGACTAAATTCACATTATCTGAGACTCAGTCTTTGGCGATGCACATCTTCATAAAAAACCTCACCAATAATTCCTCTCAGTCTTGCAATGATTACGATAACTCACCACTGTCCTGGCTCATAGCAACCACCGCTGGACTCGTATTAGCACTATTGGCAGCAGCAATATTTGTGTTGGTCCCCTCATCGGCCGTTCTCTTGAAAAAATTGTGCTGTAACGCGTAATAAGGCGTTACCCTCGTTTTCGGATCAAAATCCAACATTCTAAGTATAAGATCCTTGAACTTGAGGTAGTCGGATATTGAGTGGCCTGGTTCATTTAACCTTCTACCACCTGGACCACCACTCTCAACTCCCAGTATATCGTGTAGTCTTCGGGAACCAGGGGATTTGTACTTTTTACCGTCCTTGGACTTTTTCAGTACGTAAGAACCGTCCGTTGGGAGTTTGTCAAAGTACTTCCGCGCTTTGTGCGCTTGGTCCAATATGTGCTTCGGTGGCATACCCAGCACCTCCACTATTTTATTCATCTGATCGACCTGATCATCAAAGAGACCATTAATTAATCATTGCGATTGATTCACGCTCGAAGGGGTTCGGGTAAACTGAGATTTCTCATTTATTTTAGGAAAATGTTCTCGTTGAACATTTCCAATGACAACATTTTTCTAAATGTTCTTGTGAGGAATAATTTTTATGTTATAATTTAATCCAATTAACAAATTTCAGTTAAAACCTCAATTTTATTTTCTTAAGAAAATGTTTTGATTGGGAATGCTCAACAAGATTATTTCCTTCAAACAATAATATGGGGATATTGAGCAACATTAGTTTATTAGATAAAATTATCAAATACGAAAATAAAAAAAATAAATAAATTCATTTTTTTATGATGAAAAATTGGAAAGTTACAGTGAATTGAAAAAATTCTGCATTATGACAACATAATGCAGATGTTTTTAATGATCCATAACTTATAAATTTGGCATTATCGATCAAAATAAAAAAACGTGGCTAATAGTTTTTATTAAATTTTCATGTACGGTAATGAAAAAATTTGATGGAAAATCCCAATTTAAGAAACATTAGATCGTAAGCAAGCAAGTGATTCTAAAGGGAAGTTTCATGAAAAATTTTCTATTGGAACTTCATTCATCTACAAGAGAGTCCCTTGATAGTTCGATCCAAGATCACTTGCTTCCAATATGAATAATCAATCAATGAAAATGTGAGAAGAATGGAAAAAATCGATTCTTACCTCGTTAGCCCCGCTGAACAGAGGTTCCCCTGTATGCATTTCCACTAGAATACACCCCAAACTCCACATATCTATCGCCAGATCATATGGAATACCGAGTAAAACCTCGGGTGATCGATAAAACCTAGACTGTATATATTGGTATATCTGAAAATGAAAAAAATATTCAAATTAACAATCTGCTTTTTCCTAAATGCATGTATTAATGCACAGGGAGAAAAAAAATGTTTAACTCAATTAATGTTGAATTAATGTTCAATTGATCCTGAATTTTATGATTCTCGAATGTTCTCAGTTTGAAAACTAAAATGTTTTTACTTTAAAAACATTTGCACTTTAGCGATTCTAACGGTTTTTCTTTTGAAATTGAATGAACAGATTCTTATTTTAAAGACAATTGATGTTAGAAACATAAGTTTTGTAAAATTAAACACTTTGTTCTGAAAACTGTGATGTACGGATTCAGAAAATATGGAAAATTTCCAATTATTCTGAGTGAATTCTCCTTAAAATTCCACCAAAAAATTCAAATTCTCAGTAATTTCTCATTAAACATAACGTAATTATACTTAAATTACAATTCAGTACCGAAGCGGTAAACCTTTTAGGTCGACTTAGCCCTCAGCTGAGTTTTCGAGAAATATCTCCGAATCTAAGGGAGATAAGTAAATTTTTGTAACGACCTTTTTTGTAGAGCGAATTGAGGGCTATAAAAAAGGTCATGATAAAAATTTTGCCATCTCCCGTAGATTTCGAGAAATGCATTGAAAACTGACCAATAGTCAAAATGGACTTGAACAGTATCATCGCTGCGCTACTGAATTAAAAATTCCCAAGTCCTTCACTTGATGATTTCCTAAAATAAATAATTATTTTAATAAACCCTTACCCTCTGCCCCAATTGACACGAACTCCCAAAATCCACAATCTTAATCGCACTCCTCTTCGGATTGCAGAGAAGAATATTCTCGGGCTTCAGATCACAGTGAATGATGTTCAATTCCGGTGTGGACAGGAACAGTAGGGCAGTACACAGTTGTTGCGCAAACTTCCTCGTGAGGTTCAATGACACCCCACGGAAATTCGTATTTCTAAGTAGGTCGTAGAGGTTATAAGACAGCAGCTCGAATACCAGACACAAATGATTTCGCCACATAAAGTGCCTTTTCAGTTTAACTGGAGAGTGAAGGAAATTAAAAAAAAGGACGTGAGTATTAAAGAAAACGAGTCAGACGTTTTAATTATCAGTTTTAATTGTTGCGTAGATGTTGAATATCACTCACCTATATAATACTTGTTGTCGGTATCCGCTCTATTCATCATTTCTAATAACCTAACTTCGATTTGCGCTTGATTGAGGAAGGGTTTTTTATTCTTGATGATTTTTATTGCTACCTGTGTCTGCTCTTCGTGGTCAAATGCTTTTACTACTTGGCCGAAGCTACCTTTACCTGTTGACAAAATGCATAAACATTACATTGCTATTTCAGATCAATAATTGAAAGAAAGACCAACAAGTTCTTGAACAAGACGATTCAATTTAATTCAATTTATTTGCTTTGATGTTACAAAAGAATTTTTTTGTTTTACGTCTCTGTGGGCCTTTCTCCTCATCCAAACTAGCTCAAACAGTATTATTTTAATTTAATATAATCCATATATCTCAACCAAGTCTTCTCGGGATAAAAAAAATCGTAGGCTTAAAATTACAAAAAAAAATTATTTGATTTGAATTTGAAAATCTAGAATATGAATAAGTGCTCCAGGTTCAACAGCAACGAAATATTTGCCACTGAATCTTCATGTTTCCATTAAAAACTCTAGTAAGTTGGAAAATTCTCATCTTCCTGTTGCTAAAAAATTTGGAAATTCACTGGATTTCCAGTAAATTTTATAGCCAAAATTCCCTAAAATTTCAATTGATAGAAATCACACATAATCAGTGTTATTTTATTCAGTGTCCACTATCACCAATAATTCAGTAATGAAGTGGTCAATCGGTTTAGCTCCCAGTCGAAATTTTTGTAAGATCTTTTTCGATAGTCCCCACTTTTCTTTACAAAAAAGACAGAAAAATTTTGCTAACCCTTTATAATTTGAGATATTCATCGAGAACTGGCGCTAGGATGGAGTTGATTGAAATCGTTTGACCACTTCACTACTGAATTATTATAATTATTCAAGTTTCTAAAAATCAGTGAGACGTTCCTGAAAATGAAAAATTCTTTTCTCCGTGTTAATAAATGACTATCAATAAATGAAATCGTTCCCCCAATGAATACCCCAATTGTCTATTAACAATAAAAAATCATGCCCTCACCTATTAACGAATCAATCTCATATCGATCCAAGAACTTTTCACCATTCTTAATGATATAGTCGTGGTTGTCGTCGTCCCAGCCGTCGTTGTAGAGTTTCCTCTCCTTCTTGTGCGACCCATCCTCGCCCTGCATCTGTTGCGCTCTCCTCTTCTTCTTCGCATAGTAAACCTGAATTCAACCAAAACCAAAAAAATTCCAAATTCATTAATTCCATTATAACGTTTAATTGGCAAAAACCACGGAAAAGCTAATACTAGAGTCAACAGAGCCTCCTCCACCCTTCCCCCCCAAGTGTTTATCCTCAACCCCAAGTGTAATCCATCTTTCTTTCCGTTCCACCCATCGTCCCTCGCTGAAATAACGAAAGGGTTGATAAGGACGAGGGGGGGAGAGAGAGGTTGGTACGAGAGTCGGGTAAAAAAAGAGGGAGTAAAAAGCGAGTTAAGTGCTATTACCCCTTGTAAGTGATCATTACTACCCTCCCCCCTCCCCATCCTGCCCCTCGACGACTGTGATGAATCGTGAATCTCTATTCGTTCACAAAATTACCCGCGCTTTCTTCTCAGAGCACCATGTGATTCGATAAATGCTGTGTAGCCACCTCTTTCTGACCTGATAGCCATCCTCCCCTTCCCCCCCTCCCCCCCTTCCACCCCTATCCGTGGAAACCCTGAAATTAACGGTACAGAGCCTAAAAATGAGAGGATGGGGAGAAAAGACAGCAGTGATGATTGTGTAAAGGCGCAGAATCCGATCTTGTATTTGGGGTGAAAGATCGATAACAATGCGACCACGTGAAAATCATGCTTCCTGGAATTTCTACACTGAGTGAAAACTAGTGCATTGTGCGCCGAGCCGGGCAAAAAAAATTCCCGAACAAGTCGCGTTTGAATGAAAACAAGTGGGAAATTGCTTTCTTCACGACGTAGTCAATGTATTTTTGTTGATAAATGAGCGATCTGCTGATGAGTGGAATTGCTGGGATGATGAATTTTAAAATTGATTCAATGATTCTTTGGAGTTAAGATTACCCATTGCAGCCAATATTGTCACAACCGTTGGTGGCCAACATTATTTTAAAAAAATGAAATTTCATGGATAGTTGAATACTAATTTTTAGGAGAGTGACACTGAATGCGATTTAGACATTCCAGAATTTTGAGCAGAATAAAGACGAGAATTCCTTAATTTATTTGAATTTCCAATCTAATGTGAATATTCTGTGCCAAATTACATTGAATTTTCCGTGAAATCTGAAATTTCATGATTTTTTTTTCCTTAAATCGCATTAAGTGTCACTATCCTGAAAATTCAAGAATATATTTACCGGAATTTTCTGGTTTTCGATTCATTTTCCGGGAAAAATGGAACTGAAATTAACAGTTCTCTTTGATTTTTCCACGAAATTCAGAATTTTCAATGACGAAATTCCTTGAAATTTCAGTGGTACTTAAATCCGATAAAAATTTCCGAAAAGTATACCGGAAATTTCAGACAAAAATTTTTAACAGTGAACATTGCCCTAACGTTCAAATTTTTTACATTTCCCTGAATATTAGTTTTTAGATAAATTTTTTCAACAACAGATGTCAACAGATTTTCCAGTTATCGACGAAAAACGATGAGTCACATACACACATACATCCAGACACTCCTGAGGCCAAAATTAGTAATGCTGTCACAAAACGTGAAATTTCGAATTTGACGAATGGAATTTTGTCGCATAAATACATTTAATTGTTTGAAGAAATTTTTATTCTCTGTGCAAGCGAAAAATGGTTTTGTGTAAAACAAGAGGCAGTAGTTTTTTGTTTCAGATATTAAATAATCGCAAGATGAATGGATGCAAAAATTACGATTCCCTGTCTGTTAAATTTCTTTCATTCTTATTCAATCCACTCTAATTATATTTCTGTGAAAAACATTCGAGTTCTCAAGTTCCCGATTTTTCCTTTCATAAAATTAATCTACTCCTGTCTGAAGTATTTCTTTAAATACCTTCGACATTTACCATTCCAGCTCAATGTAATTCATAACCACTTCTTTATCAAAAGTATATTACCTGACGACCTTGACTCAATTAATATTGAATTCATGTTCAATTAATCCTGAACTTTATTCAGTGTGAATGTCTTCAATGAAAACTCGCAGATATTCTTATTTTAAGAACATTTCTTAGCTAACAAAAAAGGGATTTTTACTCAAGTTCACTTTTAAATTCTTCTCTCAATTATCTCCCAAAATGTGTTCTGTTTTCCCCCAAACAAGGCCTAATCATCGGAATAATTTGATCATGATGACTGCAAATCCCATCGAACAGTTGATGATCACCGCTAAATAATAATAATAATAATAATAATAATAATAATAATAATAACCGCGTACACTGTTAAAAAAATGGCTGAATTTTCCGGGAAAAGACCTTGAATTCGATTTAAGAAGAAAAAATCAATGGAATTTCAAGTTTCTCTGAAAATTTAAGTAAAGTCTCAATTTTTGAGCGGCAGAAAGACAGAATTTCCACAATTTATGTGAATTTTCCAGTGAAAATGAATATTCACTGCCAAATTCCCTCGAATTTTCAAGGAATTTCATAAAAATTCTTGGAATTGCAGAATTTTTTGAAGGAATTCTCTGAAAATTCAAGGGCAGCTGGAATTCATGAAAAAGTTTCTCTCAATTTTCCTTAATTTTCCCGGAATAATTAACCTGAAATTTACCATTCCAACCGATTTTTCTATGAGATTATGAATTTTCAATGACGAAATTCCTGGAAATTTCAGTGGACCTGTTATATACTTGTTAAAAATTTCCTTGATCCTTACGGGAAATTTCTGTGGAAATTTTTAACAGTGTAGGGTTCACCGTAATTGGACGAATGACCTATTTCCCCGGTCAATGACGCCGAATCCTCGAAATTTTTATCATTTCAAGATCAAAACAAATGTATTTATATTTCCCAGCATTTTTCATCGTTTTTCTGCTCATCCGGTTCTCACATGAATTGAATTCATGCTAGATAGACATTTGCGTGATGCAACCAGCAGCGCCAACTGAAGAGAAAAACGTCAATGGTATTGGGCATTTGGTCGGTACTACATATACCCCAGAACACCATACAACGTTTTACTGAAAATCACACGGAAGGACGCGACCTACCCCAATAACACCAGAAACCCTCTCTCTCTCGCGTTGCGTTTCACGTGACCCGTTTGGCCCCGTTTCCCAACAACCGATAATACCAGTGCCTGATGTTTTTGCATCGAGTCCTTGCACATGTGATCATCGTGGAGAAAATGAATAAGAATTTATAAATAAAGGGAAAACAAGAACAGCAATAAAAGAAATGGATGGGTTGCAGATAGAATTATGTGAATTGAGTATTGAAAATATACGAGGAAAAAAACGAGAATTACCGAAAGGTGCGAAGAGAGAATATAACTTGAATAGATAAATAATACGGAACAAAATTTTTAGTGACGTTTCTACGAACGCAGTGGCGTTTCTACGAAATTTCGGGAAAACTTGTCATTGAAAAATCGCATATTCCACCGATTTTCTCACAATGTCAAGTTAAAATCAATACGCGGAGAGAAAAGTTGAATAAAAATTACCTAGAAAATCGTGGCAAATTTTACTGTTGAAAGGTATTCGTGGAGCGAAATGTCTCTTTGTATAATAAAGAAATAAGGAGGTCAAAAATTCGGGAGACGCTCCTGATCCTGACCCTTACTGTGACCCTAATTCTGACCCTTATCTGTGACTCTGATGATGCCATTCAAAATGCATTATTATCTATATCTCTCTAACATGGTTATATCTGTATAAGTTCATATGGGGTCATATGGGGATCAAATCCTTAAAAAATAATAATAGGAGTATACCCCATACTATTCTATGTAAATCAATGGAAAAATGAATGGTTGAGTTTCACGACAAGGTTGGAGATTGGCCTTTTGTAAACAAAAAAATCTCAATTTTTCAAAGGAGGTAAATCACTCTATCAATTTTTTTTCTATATAACACGAACGCCTAAACATACTCAAGAAAATTGGGGAGGGCGGGGGGGAGAGCGAAGCGAGCGAATCAAGCCCCCCCTCAGGTTTGGCGAGCGAAGCGAGTAGGGGACAAAACCTCTTAGTAATTCAATGAAAAAATACCTGTTTGTGGAGGGTATTTTACGAGTCGTTCGGTAAAAAACACATCTATAGATACAAATATTATCCGTACATTATCTGTACACTAAAATTTCCTACACTGGTAGGGTATTTTTTTCTTGCACCCATTTGAAGGTTATGGGGAAGAATGGAAGTGAAATATTCCCGAACGCGTTCGGTAAAAAATCATCCTTCGTTATAGAAGAATTATACGCAATATTGAGTAACTATTCACGTTTACTGGGATAATTTTTGATGGAATACAGGGTGATTTCTACTTTCGGCACAAATTACCCTCACGTTCAGTCAATTTTCCCGAGACAACGGGGGAAAATTAACTATTTTCTAGTACTAAAAATTGAGTCAACTAATTTGTTTTCGCTGAACTTTTTTCTCTGTGTTGGAACTATAAAATTCAGTTGAATTCTTTTGTGAAAATTGGCAATCAGGTGATTACGTTCTTGAATTTTCAAGCCTTCACGAATATTAATCTTCATGAAATTATTTAAATTCGCGTTAATTCTCCCTGAAACTTGGAATTTTATGAGACTTCATCTCCCAAATCAAATTCAATGCTACGATTTCACTATTCACGAAACTCCTATTTTCTCAAACAGTCAAGAATAGTTTTGAAAGAGTATGAGAATCAAGAATGAATACAGTATTTACACGTCATCATTTCAATCATATGACGAAAGACATGAGAATGGAACAAAGGAATTATTATTGAATATGACCTGATGATGCACATTTGCATCCATGTGAACTGTTCAAAAGTTGGGAATGAATAGACAATTATCTAGAAAAATTTATGTTGGTAACCGTTGTTCCACTTAGAACAGCCATAAAAGTCAATTTTTTAAGAGTGAATATTAGTTTTAAAATGATAAGCCCATAAGACAATGAAGACAATGAAGATTGAATAAATTACTTGCACATCATCATCACCATCTCAGTCATATTAGAATTTTTATTAAATTAACAGAGAAAAGTAATTTTATGCCCCTGATT